CTTCTGAGTTCTATTCTTTAATTTCCAGCCATCTTTAAAACATTTCCACTTAATTGTATTAGCCGGTTTCCCAAATTTCCCATTTTGTTAGTAGCATTACTAGTCTTCTGAACTTAAAACCCTAGAGTCATCCTGAAAGTTCTTTATCCCTTTTACCAAGTCTGTTGTAAAGTCATATCTTACTGTGCACAGTCTTTTTCATTTGTTAGGCCTTACCCATTTTTACTGTCACCTTTTCTAGTGAATTTCAACTTGTATGTAAATTATTTCAGTAGCTTTTCAATTGGATCTCCTTTATCTGGGTTTTCCCTCCAATCCATCTCGTACAAGGTGGCCAGATTAGTTTAACTGAAATAACGTTTGTTGTGCTGTCTTTGTGCCAAAGATCACACAGTTTTCCTCTATTACTACTAAAATCACATTCAGGTTTGGGTACTGGAAAGGGCTTGTTTTACCAATCCACTTGATCTCCCACTGCTTTTTCAGACCATCTCCTTCTGTAAGTAGCTACTGTGCAGTCCTCTGCACATACCATGTCTGTGCTTTTCTCTTTATCTTTGTAAATGATCTGGACCATAGTGGTGATTTCACTGCCTCGTAGTCTATCCAGATCTCTTGGGAATTGTTCTGAAAGCTCCCCTGATTTTCCAAGACTGTGTCAGCTTCTTGTTTCTTAACAACAACAAAAGTTTCCTTGTAGATATTTTTCATCTTTTCTCAACTAGGTTGTAAACTCTTTGAAAACAGAGAGTCTACCTATTCTACTTTTGTATTTGTACTTTGCAGTTTTGGGGTAGATATAGTAAACATTGTTTATTAAATAAGAAACTCAATTAGTGTCTTAATACGGTAGAGATGTATATTCCAAGTTGGCTTTAACTTTTGAAATGTTTCTTTCACCTGCTAATTTATTAAATTCAATTGAAATCAGTAGGTTGACATTCACTTTTATTCCATAAATTTGGTCATTTTGATAAATTTATCCTGTATCAGAAAATCGTTGCTTCCTAGATTTAGAAGTTTCTTAAAATGTTTACAATTTGAATGTGATTCCAAGAAACTAGTCAAAATGTGAATCTGTTTCTGGAAACAACCAACCAGTAATTTTCACCTTCTTGTTTGTTTGCCAGATAAAAGCATTTGAAAGTCAACATAGATTTCCTTTTAAGATGTTGGAAGAGTGATCTCTTATTTTAATTCAGATGAGAAAACATTCAGTAATGTGATTATAACTACAATACTTCACGGTTCAAGAAGGACTCTTAGATCTGAAGGTCTGAAGTCAACTGAAAGGCTGTTATGTAAGATAAACCAAAAAGATCTTCACTTTGAATTTGGAGTAGCTGTGTACAAATAAGCTGTATGAAGAGTCTCTACTTTAGGCCGATTGTGGTGGCTCACGCTCATAATCTGAGTGCTTTGAGAGGCTGCAGTGAGAGGCTAGTTCAAAAACAGCCTGGGCAACATATCGAGAACCTGTCTCTACAAAAAAAAAAAAAAAAAAAAATTAGCCAGATATGGTGGCACATGCCTGTAGTCCTAGTTACTCAGGAGGCTGAGGCAAGAGGATCGATCCCTTGAGCCCAGGAGTTCAAGGTTACAGCGAACTATGATGAACCACTGTACTCCACCCTGGGCGACAGAGCAAGACCTTGTCTCTCTAAAAATAATTTAAAAATTAAAAAGAGTCTCTACGTCAGGCTTGAGGACTCTTTTGTAGGTTTGGTGGTTTGGGATAAAAACAAAAGGGAGTTTCTTGTGTAGAGGTGCCAAAATCGAGGTGATATACAAAGTTGCTTTTGAATATTTTCATTTTCTGTTTTGAATTTGCACTCATGGAAAGCTAACAGCGCTACTTGCCTGCTGTTAATGTGTCCTGAGCCACTATCAGAAACAGAGTCCTAGGCTGGAAAGACTCAAAGAGCAGATGAATAAGGGATTTTATATATATCATAATCAGAGACTACCTGGATGAAAAGTTAGCTGCAAGCAGTATTGTATATTTGCTGTTTTTAAGAGAATGTTCAAGAATTGGTCCATAATAGACTGCTAGTAAAGATGATCTTTCAGTTGTCTTTGGAGAAGTAGGCACCTTCAAAGTACTCTCGAGTATGATTGGAGTGAAAATAATAACTTCATTCTTTATTTCCAGACAAGTTAAACCATCATCAAGAGATAAATATCATGTTTCTTAATTTAATTTTAAGCATTTTTAAATTTTGTTTTCCATCATTTCTTATGTTATATGGAACCTTCTGCTTGGTTTTCTTCTACTCCTCTGCTTAAATAATACTTTGGAGTTTCCCTTTATTTTATTTTATTTTATTTTTTGAGATGGAGTCTTGCTGTGTTGCCTAGGCTGGAGTGCAGTGGTACAGTCTCGGCTCACTGCAGCCTCCACCTCCCCGGCTCAAGCAATTCTCCTGCCTCAGCTTCCTGAGTAGCTGGGATTACAGGCGCATGCCATAACCCCTGGCTAATTTTTGTATTTTTAGTAGAGACAGGGTTTCACCATGTTGGTCAGGCTAGTCTCAAACTCCTGACCTCATGATCCACCCGCCTCGGCCTCCCAAAGTGTCGGGATTACAGGCGTGAGCCACCGTGCCCGGTCTGGAATTTCATTTCTTTTTTGACATTTTGTTGTTATGGGATCCCCTTTAAAAATCTTTGCAGGGTATTGAATATTTTCTATATTTCCCCTGTATTTTTTTAAATTAAAAAAAAGTATCTTTTTAAGAAGTTTTTAAATTCCTTTCTTCAAAATCAGAAGACAAAAAAGACTACCTTGTTGCCCTTTTGTTCTCGTTGACCTATTGAGTACGCAAGTCAGGGGTAAGAAATCCATCTGTTTTTGTGAATCAGAGCACCATTGATTCACACACAAAAATCAGCTAAGAGCTACCTGTAGGTTAAATTAATGAGTTTATTGTATGACATGTGTTATAGTTGGAAAAGAAGGAAAACGATAGGATTAGGAAAGATAAAGTAATTCAGGCTTAGGCTCACTTCAAAGTGTGTGTTTTTTGTTTTTTGTTTTTTGGTTTTTTGCTGTTTTTATCTAAGTTCTTAGTGGTGAAATACCTTCATGACAAGAGACTGTTACTTTTATTTTTGCCAAGTCAGAAGCATAATTTGAAAAATAACAGCTATATTATTCCTAATCTTAAGTGTGATTCTTGGAAACTATTTGTTTCATTGTTCTGAGTCCCTCGCTGCTCCCTTTCTTCCCCAAATACAATTCAGTTTTCTGATCCAGCTTGGTTTTATTTGGAACCAAACAAAACAATGGCAACATTTTTTAAAACCCTATGAAATTTATTATTATTATTATTATTATTTTGAGATGGAGTCTCGCTCTGTCGCCCAGGCTGGAGTGCAATGGCACGACCTTGACTTACTGCAGCCTCTGCCTCCCAGGTTCAAGCGATTCTCCTGCCTCAGCCTCCCGAGTAGCTGGGATTACAGGCGAGCGCCACCACACCTGGCTAACTTTTGTGTTTTTAGTAGAAACGAGGTTTCACCATGTTGACTAGGCTGGTCTTGAACTCCTGACCTCAAGTGATCCGCCCGCCTCAGCCTCCCAAAGTGCTCGGATTACAGGCCTGAGCCACTGTACCCAGCTCTACAAAATATGTTTTATGAATAAAGTCAGAATTTACTAAGAATGAATATATCTGATTTTAAGTTTATAGTAGAGTTTAAAATATAGGACCTGTATTTTCAAGATAAGTTTTCAGGTTGGATTTAGTAACCTGATCATCTCTTCATGATTGTATACCTTTTTCCAAGGGCTATAAACAGGTATACCTTGGACCTTGTCTGAAGAAGCATAATGTTCTTGAACCTAAAGGACCCTTCAGACGAGAGCATAGTAAAATGAGTTTAGAATGAGATTCTATTCTATCTTCATAACAGGGCATATATCTTCTAGCAACACATTCTAATATCATTATCAGAAATAGTGTCTTATATCTAAGTATCTTTTTATTCTCTTTGTTGTTCCCTTCTAACTCAAATGGTGGAATAATCAATCTGCTTTCTTATTGGGGTATATATTTTAAAATAAACTGTTTAATGAAGCTTGTCTGAGTTATTTAGATCATTGGGAGGTGGTGTTTTATATCTTCCAAAGATCACACTCATTTTCCTATATTGTACCAGGTGACTAGAAGCTTAAGAGCATCATGGCATCTGTCTGGATGATAGATTTTGGAAGAGTTCAGAAGACAGTCTATTCTTTTTCAGATTGAATTTTCAAGCTTTGATTCTTTCCTTGAAGTTACTTCTACATATTAATCAGTGAGGAACATTTCTTAACAAAGCTTATTATGTAGCATGAAGTAGAAGATTCAACATCTTGCCTGCCTTTCTGTGTGTTCCCACAAGTGTGTGTTTATCTACAGTACTTGGCACAAGCACACAGAGTGTCTTATTATGTATTCTTTAGTTTTATTTAGGAAGTACTGGCATATTTAACTGTAGTAGTGTCTACTGTGTATAGTAAATGAAACTTCTTTGGAGACTGAGTCTTTTAATTATACTCCATACTTTGAAGAGAAGGAGATAATTTTTCATTAAAATTAGAAAGTTAAATGGATATTAAGTTGATGCTGAATTGCAACACCAGATTCTAGAGTCTATGTCACCTCCATTTCCAGTCTAGCAGCTGTTAGTAAAAGACACTTGGAATCCATTTTCCCCCATCCAGATTATTAATATTAAATAAGACCGACAGCAAGGATTTAGTGATTAAAAATACTATGTACTTTGTTCCACTGCCTTTCAACAAGAATCAGCATGTAAAGTTGAAACTTCCTGACCAGAATTTGGAAGACTATGATGTAATTCCCTGGGCCTTGATTCCAGAAGAAGGAGCTCTCTGAATATGGGTTTACTAGTTGGTGGCCAATTCATGAGTCACCAACTATTAGGCCTTTATGTCCAGATATTATCCTAATTTATGGAGTAAGGTCCCTGAGTTCTCCTCTTTCCTTCCACAGGGCAAGCAGGAGGACTTCAAGACGACAGTTCTGGAGGGTATGGAGACGGCCAAGCATCAGGTGAGGGTGGCATTAGATGCTTGCCACTTAGTAGCAAGAGCCGCCAAGTAGGAATTGATGCTTGCAAGTGTTTTTGGCTGTGGTATCCACATTTTAGCCAGAAGCGCAGGTGAAATTTAACCCACAGGGCATAGTAGTGTAGTAGTAGAGAGTGTAGCCAGAACAAAGGCAAGCAAAACCTTTTGAAGTCCTCAGGCCGATCTCAGCCCTCCACTCTTTGTGTTTTCGAGGAGATGGCGGGTACTTTTCTCCCCAGCAGCCTTTATATTAATAGTAAACATGATATAAAACATAGACTTAGGAATCATGGGGCCCTTAAGAGAAATACAGCAGTACACACAGAGAGGAAAAGCCGCAGGCTCAAAAGTCTAAAAACACAAAGGACTGAGAGGCATTCTAGGACTAGTCAGAGGAACTACATGGGCAAGTGACATCTTTTTAAAAATGGTTGTTACATGGTATTGGGTACCTTTTTTCAGTTAACATTACCTAGTTAATCGTTCTTCAGTTTAAACATTTTGTTTCTCCTGTGAAAAATATCTTTTGAAAAGTCTGTTTGAAATACTTTTTCTGTTCAGACCAAACAGTATGAGATTTTTACTTCTAGGAAAAAGTAAAGAATTTATAGGGGCCACCATCTGGAACAGTTAAAATTTATCCCAGCAATCCAAAATAACATATCTGGATTTCATCCTTTGTCTCTTGAAGGATGTTTTTGTTCCAGTTGCTCAAAACTGGTTCATAGATACGTTTTGATAGAATTGGAATAGGCGCTACTTCACTTTTGGAGGTTGTTACTTTTCAGCTGTCTTAAGTCTGCTTTAAAATTATTTGTCTTGCAGTTTGCATATAACAGGTCCTGGAATTACTTGTATTTTACTCTCTCGAATTAAAGATAGTTCATTGTTAATACAGCAATTAGTAGTTAGGGGATCCAGAATGTTAGGAGAAGACTTTTAAAAATGTTGTCCCAAGGATTTCTGGTTGATAATCAGTACATGGTTATCTCAGCAGAATTAAACCCTGTTCAGAGTCTATATCTGTGGCATATAAACCTTCAAGAATGCCTTTCATCAAATGACACACAATTAGATCTTCCATAGAACTGTTGAAGATCAGGGATGGCCTTTAGAGTCTTAATCTTGAAGAAAGAGATTGAGTTTTCTTGTTTTTTGTTTCTATTGTGTGTGTGTGTGTGTGTGTGTGTGTGACTGTTTGCTCTTTTGCATAAGTAAACAATATCATATATTGCTGAAAGTGAAAGCAGACTTTCATATAAAACAGTGGTGCTGCTGATTACTGTTAGTAGAACATGAATTTTGAGTGTTTCCAGGAATGATGGTGACTGTTCTAAACCCTTCAGTATCTCTCTTTGGGTATGTCATATTCGGAAGTATGCATTTGTGAAATGATCAATCAGGGTTAGAAATGTACTTGTAAGAGATCAACATTCTTCTCTTAATGAAGCCAGATGACCCTCATGGGTATCTTGGTGCCAGGATCATATCTTGACTTCTTAAAATCCACCTCAAGTTGGTATACACATCCTAAATCTTAGAGCTAGAAGAGAACTTGAGGTCATCTTGTCTAACTTCCTGCCTTCAAACAGTATTGTATCTCCCTTATTTATGGATTAGGATCTGAAACCCAAAGAAGTTAAATAGATTGACCAGCAATACACCCGCAGTTCTGGAGAAGGAGAACCCAGGGATCTTGCTTCTTAGTGCAAAGACTATTCCTTACACCCTTAAAATCCTTTAAAATAGTGTTTGCCCTAGAAATTAAAAAATCTGAAGTATAGGAGGTTGTATAATTCTCTTTTCATTTTCTCTCACCTCCCGCTATTCCTTATTCTTTTTATTTTAAAACCATTCTAGGACTTGATATGATGCATCTCTAGTTTTCTCATTTTAAGTAAAGTCTTTAATATGTAGATCCCATCAGGCTTTTGTTTTCATGCTAGAAATCTGATTATAGTTATCTACTTGATACAAAAAATCAAAGGCAAGTAACTCTCATGGAGACCTTCTTTTCTTTGTTAATTTTTAATATCTCTATTACCTTATTGCAGTCAAGATGTTACCTATATCTTACCAGAATCAGGAGGAAATGATTTAATGGAATAGAGGACCTGTCATCTCACCTGCCTCTCCCGCTTTTTCTCCTTCTAATTAACGTACTTCAAAAGCTCTAAATTATTCCTTCAAATATTTAACTACATTTACTATGTATTCAGAGAAAGTATAAGCCAGTCAGACCGTTAGAAAGGGCAATTCTTCTTGAGAGTGACTGCATTCTGGATGGTGATGCTGGAATTTCCTGTATAAACGTGGTGAGCAGGAAGGAACTGAACAGAAGGTAAGACTGGTATTTAGGCAACCTTGGAGCTTTATATTAATTTTTGAATGTTTCAAAGACAACGTTTTGGAAACATTCTAAATTTTCAGAATACCAGATTCCATTACTTAATAGAAAACACAAACACTGAAGTACAAAACTATCAGAGCCAAGTGTAAATTACTTGTGAATTATGTGTACTGTTGGTACTTTTAGGATGTTATTAAAATTATTTGTATTCTAAAAGATTTTTCCTCTGAAAGAGATAGGTACTCATGAGTTAGATTATCCAAAGTGGTGTCTATTACTTCATTTTGGTACTATCCTATAAGAAGGATGTCTTAGCTTCTCAACAGTTTAGGTTACAAATTAACATACATTTTTTTTTCTTAAAGAAAAGGTTAGCTTTTTATCTTGCAGGCCTTTCACCCTGGTTTTGATAATGGTCTTCATTCCTTAAAATAAGTATCCCTAAACACTAAAGGGAAGGAAATAATTATTGAGAGTTTTTAGAGACCATTTTTCATTTTTAAAAATGATATCAGAGTATTGAGAATAGCTAGTTTTCTTAGATGCTGTTTAGAAGATAGAGATGGAGAAGAATATTATTCCAAGCATACATTAATGTCACCATGTTTAGTTTCTTTAAATTCCTTTGTTTAAACTTCTGATGTTTGATTTAAAAATACTTTGAAAATATAAATAACATTTCTTAATCATTACATGTTCTCAAAAATTCCCCAAATTAGCCAACTACATTAGAGTGATTTTTGATGAGAACATCTGAGGCCAGGCGCATTGGCTCATTCCTGTAATCCCGGCACTTTGGGAGGCTGAGATGGTGTATTGCTTGAGCTCAAGAGTTTGAGACCAGCCTGGGCAACATGGTGAAACACCATCTTCACAAAATGTAAAAAAAATTAGACATAATGGCTTGCACCTGTAGTCGCAGCTACTTGGGAGGCCAGGGCAGCCCAGCTACTTGAGCTCAGGAGGCAAAGGTTGCAGTGTGAGATTGCGCCCCTGCACTCCAGGAGCCTGGACAACAGAGGGAGACGCTGTCCTTCCCCTCGCCAAAAAAAAAGAACATCTGTAGTGAGGAGCCCAATGTATTATAAAATTTGGTATTGTATCCTACATGATTTTTCTGTCATTGAAAAATATTTTGCAGTAGGAGTTCAATGACTACTTATTAAATGTATAGAAGATAATATAGCTAAGAAAGAAAACTACCATTTTTGGCAGGGAGACGTGGAATTTAATAGAGATCATTTTCATGTTAATAGTATATACTTATGAATTATACCAAGAAGTAGCCTGTTTAGAGATACTTGGTTCAGATACTCAGAATTAATGTAGATAAGTTCCTTATAATGTGAGATATTTTTAGTCTTGGTTTTTTGTTTTGTTTTCAGTTTTTATTTATTTTGATTTGGGAATGGGGGCTAAACTGTATCCACAATAGTAAGCATTTCTTCTTTTCTTGCCTTAATTTCATGCTCCACCTATAATATGGCTTTTACTATTTTTTCTTTTTTTTTTTTTTTGGCCCAAGAATAAATTGTCCTGACAGTCTTTAATTTTAGCTATGGATTAATTAAATGTAAGGATTGTTGATTTGATTTAGTAACGTGAGACACAGTGTTTATGCCCTCATTATCTACAGTAAATGGATAGCTTTTCCTCCTTGTCTCTAAGAACAGTATTTCTTAATATGTGGCCCATAATTAGCATTAGGCATTTTTGCTTGACCACTTGTTAAACATGATTTTTTTCTAGGTAGTGTTTGCCACATGAATGTCTTGTGGAAACAGACTCCTTGATAGCTTAGCTATAATTTTCTAAGTTACATCTTTACCTGCCTTGTTTTTTTAATTCTCCTAATCTTACTAATACTTTAGCATTAGTTTTGCTTCCATTATCAGTGTTTCCAACTTCTGTTTTATGTGCTTTAAAATAATTATATATAGCTGAGCAGGGTGGCTCACTCCTGTAATCCCAGCACTTTGGGAGGCTGAGGTGGGTGGATCACTTAAGGCCAGGAGTTCCAGACTAGCCTAGCCAACATGGGGAAACCCTATCTCTACAAAGAATACAAAAAAAATTAGCCAGGCATGGTTGTGCATTCCTATAGTTCCAGCTACTTGGGAGGCTGAGGCAAGAGAATTGCTTGACCCCAGGAGGCGGAGGTTGCAGTGAGCCGAGATCACGCCATTGCGCTCCAGCCTGGGCGACAGAGTGAGACTCCCTCTCAAAAAAAAAAAAAAAAAAAAAAGGTTATATATGGATATCTGGTGCCTATTTTGTTACTTATATATAATTACTTAAATGGTATGGAATTTTGAAACTCTTTAAATTTAGTCTTGATAGTTTTATAAGCTGGTGTGATAAGTGCATCTATAAGGTGATCTTATAAATACATTTGCATTTGTTGTGCTTGTGTTTTTAAGATCACCTTATAAAGGTGTACTTATCTACAAATTTATAAAACTATCAAGACAATACCCAGTTAATTAAGAATTTGAAAATAACATATTTTTGGGGAAGTTGAGGCGGGTAGATCACTTGAGGTCAGGAGTTCGAGTCAAGCCTGGCCAACAATGGTGAAACCCTGTCTCTACTAAAAATACAAAAAATTAGCCAGGCATGGTGGCATGTGCCTGTAATCCCAGCTACTCGGGAGGCTGAGGCAGGAGAATCACTTGAACCCAGGAGGCGGAGGTTGCAGTGAGCTGAGATCTCACCACTACACTCCAGCCTGGGCAATAAGAGCAAAACTTCGTTCAAAAAAAAAAAAAAGAAAAAAAATAACATATTTTACTTGCAGTGTATAGTGTATGTATACACTATATGTATATGTGTTATAGAGTATACATAGTAATATTTGTAGTATATAGTAAAGCATTTCTAATGTTTCTGCCAGAAAAGGTAAATTGCTTGCATTCTTCTGTCTTATTGTTGTCTGCTTAATTTCTCTCACTGCTTGCCAGCGTTGAATTATGATTACTAATGGATGATACTGTTGATGAGATTGTGATTTTCTGCTGTTGATTATTAAAGTCATCTTTCTGTTTCATGCTGTAATCCTAAAAGAAGGCATGTGATTGTGTTTTTCACTCCACAGCTTCTTTTGCTTTCCTGTTAGTGCATTTTCCTTTATTCTGGTTCTTTAGTTTTAAAATTTACTGTACACCTGTCAGTAGTGCTAATTTTAATTAGATCATCTAATATAATGAAGTTATTTTATGGACGAAGAAACTATTTTAAATGCTTTGTCTCATAAGGTAGTTGTTTCACTCAGTAAAGTATAAACTTTGGAATGTTAAGCTCAACCAAGTGGCTAATATCTAAGGAAGTTTCAGCTTTTGAGACAATTGAAAATTTTTTGATAAGGTCAGTCTTTGAGTGAGGCAAAGGAATTTCAGCATCATCACTACCCATTTTGTATTCACTTGAACTTTTCCTAGATGTCCTTTGCTTTCTTCGTTAGGTGTGGAGGGCGCAGCTTTCCAGAGCCGACTTCCTCATGACCGGATGACTTCTCAAGAAGCAGCCTGTTTTCCAGATATTATCAGTGGCCCACAACAGACCCAGAAGGTTTTTCTGTTCATTAGAAACCGCACAGTAAGTTTCCATGTCAGCTTTTTCACCTGGATTATAAAAAGTACGTATGGCTTTGATAGAGAGTATGGGAAAAATAAAAAGGGAAGGAAGAATTCTAAAATTATCTATAATACTATATTACCCAGAGATAACCTTTGTTAATAGTTATTTTTCATTTGGGTATTTTAAAAATGTGTATATAATTTTTGTTTTCATAAAATTGAGATCCTTCTTGGATACATTCTTGTGGATCCCTTTTATACTTCACAACCTCATAAATACACATTAAGAATATTTATTTAGGCCGGGCGTGGAGGCTCACGCCTGTAATCCCAGCACTTAGGGAGGCCGAGGCATGCAGATCACCTGAGGTCAAGGGTTGGAGACTACCCTGACCAACATGGCGAAACCCTGTCTCTACTAAATACAAAAATTATCTGGGCATGGTGGCGGGCACATGTAGTCCCAGCTACTCGGGAGGCCGAGGCAGGAGAATTGCTTGAATCTAGGAGGCGGAGGTTGCAGTGAGTTGAGATCATGCCACTGCACTCCAGCCTGGGCAACAGAGTGAGACTTTGTCTCAAAACAAACAAACCCTTTAAGCATTAAAAAACATTAAAAAAATAATAATAATCACTTTGTCCTTCCCTCTCAAGATAAGAGAAATCTTTACCCTTTTCTGCTCATCTTGTTCAACCTCTTCCTCTGGTTGAATGATTTAACTTCAGTGTCTGCATAATATTTTGTCTGACAGTTGGGTTATAATATAACTGCTGGACATTTGTTGCCAATTTTGCTTTATTGTAATTAACTCTGGACAGTCTTATGCATTCTTGACTCTACCTATTATTTCCTTATTATAGAATTCTGGAAGGAAAACTAGCTTGTCAGAGAGTTATGAACACTTTTTAAAAGTTTTGTACATATTGCCAGATTTTTTCCCAAAAGGCCGAACCAGTCAACCCCCCATTGCCCTGCCCATTTTTATTAAAACAGTGATAATCTGTGCTCCTATAACTGGCCAAAACCGTCTCTGTTCTTTTTCATTTCTTGGATTACTGAGACTGACTGCTTTTCACATTAGTCATTTGTATTTCTTCTGCAAATTTTTCTTTCGTATCTTTTATTCATCAGGAATTCTTATTTAGCCATAGAGTAAGTAGATGAGGGAAAGATGCTATTCAGAACATATTCATGTTACTCTAGGGTGATACAACACAGAAGAAATTTACCTTGTGATTCAGCTAATTTGAATATGAATATAGCTTAGAGATGTCATTGATATGTCTGCTTTTTAGCCACCACCAGTTTCTTTATTTTGGCTATTAGATTGCAAAACTACTGCTTAATTTCAATTGTTAAATATCATTTAGCTAGAGCAATTGATAGGTTATCCTGGGTTTTTGTAAAACAGAAAAGAACAGTGAAGACGGTGAGTTTTTAAAACAGTGAACAGAAAATTCTTAGTGTGTAGTCTAAGGCTGATTTGTCTTATAATTCAATCAGTTTCTGTGTATAGCATATCAATATTTGCTCTAAGTGGATTTTTTTTAAGACAAAATTGTCATTTTTTTGTTTGTTTGTTTTATCTGAAGAGAGTTTTCACTTTTTACTTAGATTTGAGCGATAGATTTACAGGGATCTCTGTCTTCTCTGATTCACCAGAAGTCCAGATTTGGGGAAGGGTTTCCAAACCATGTTAGATTTGTGGTCTCTGGCTGTGAAACAGAATGTAAATCAACGTCTACTGCAAGAATTTTGTCAGTTCTCTAGTCTTAAACTATAATACTTTAAAACTGAAACTTTAGGATTATTGAACTAGACTGTGACCTAAGCGTTATTTTGTAGGAGGAGGAGAAAGAAGACTTGTGTTGGACGTGAGGAACTTGGGCCCAGTGTGCACCTGAGGAAGTCCATTTACCTTACAGTGGCCACAGAGTAGAGTATCTGTGTAGATTTGGTCGTAATCCCTTAGTATTTGGTTTATTTACATATAGCCAAATTAATTTCTTCTTGGTTGAAAGTTGTCTTATGGAGCAGTCTTTTTAATTTTTAGCTAAGACTTAAATATAGTATTATTTAGTTTGTCTTGCATTTTGCAAGTATATATTCACTTTGAAGAGAATTCATTTTAGAGCCCATTGATTGTACCATAATGTTTTTTATGTCTCATCTGTTTTTTCAGCAGTATTTGAAATAATTTGACTGCTCCTTTCTTCTTAAACACAGTACTTCCTTGGATTCGATAACTTAGTATCTGGTTTTTCTCCTGCCTCCCTGGGTGTCTTCTCTGATTGCTTTATAGGATGATCCTTAACAATTAGCCATTATGTGGACTATTTGGGAGTTCTTTCTCCTCTCGCCCTATTTTTTCCTCTGGGAATCCTTTTCAATGCATTTGACTTCAGTTATTACCCATAAGCAGATGACTCTAGACCTCCTCTCTCTTCTGAGCTCCAGACTCTATATCCATATATTTTATATCTCTTCTTGTTGGCTTGGAGCTGAACTCATTATCTTATTTCTTCTTTAAAGTGATTCCATTCAGTGTCTGGTGTACCAGCTAGCTTAGTTGTACCAAAATGGAGATGTTGTCCTTGACACCTTTCTCCCCGGCCTCAGCATAACCAGCTGATCATTAGATTTTGTGGATTTTATCCACTTAGTATCTCTGGAGTTGTATAACCCGGGTTTAAATGCCAGTTGCTCCCTGCTAGCTGTGTGGACTTGGCAAGTTACTCGGTGGTTTTCTCTTTTAGGCTAAATACCCCAGCTTGTTCAGTAATATACTTATTTCATATGGTTTTGTGTTCATCAGTTTCTTTGTCAGGAGTATAATCTCACTGTTTTAATTCAAGGGAAACCCATGTTTGGGGCCTTAAAGTTAAAAGGATGATTTTATTTATTTTAATTTTTTGAGACAAGCTCTTGCTCTGTTGCCCAGGCTATAGTATAGTGGTAAGATCATGGCTCACTGCAGCCTCGATGTCCCGGGCTCAAGTGATCCTTCTGCCTTAGCCACCGAAGTAGCTGGGACTACAGGCATGTGCTACCATACGCAGCCAGTTTTTATATTTTTGGTTGAGATGGGGTCTCACTATATTGCCCAAACTGGTCTCAAACTCCTGGGCTTAAGTGATCCTTCTGCCTCAGCCTCCCAAACTGGTGGGATTATAGGTGTGAGCTACTGCAGCCAGCTAAAAGATGATTTTAAAGATGGTTAAATGACATATGTCTATTTGTATGTAATATAATTTATGTCATTTAAATGCAGCTGCAGTTGTGGTTGGATAATCCAAAGATTCAGCTGACATTTGAGGCTACTCTCCAACAATTAGAAGCACCTTATAACAGTAAGTAGTGTGTTCAATAGGACTAATTTTGTACTGGATTGTGAAAATTGGTGTATTCTTCTAGGAGCCTCATGGTTCCTTGATAATTAATTTTTTCATTCATATTTCCATGTTATTTTACCTTGTGCTGTGCAAAAATAAGTCTTTTGGAAAACCTGTTTTCTATGTTTTTTTTCATCTTCTGGTCTTTAAATTGTGTTAACACATGAGTTCAAGAGATTGCTAAGTACTCTTCCTAGACCTGTTGTCCAGCTTTGATCCATGGAATACTTTGGCGCTTCATGGCTCACTATCTGGTTTTTTTATTTTTATTTTTTTGAGATGGAGTCTGGCTCTGTGGCCCAGGCTGGAGTGCAGTGGCGTGATCTTGGCTCACTGCAAGCTCCGCCTCCTGGGTTCACGCCTATCTCCTGCCTCAGCCTCCCGAGTAGCTGGGACTACAGGCGCCCACCACCATGCCCGGCTAATTTTTTGTATTTTTTAGTAGAGGCGGGGTTTCACCGTGTTAGCCAGGATGGTCTTGATCTCCTGACCTCATGATCCGCCCACCTCAGCCTCCCAAAGTGCTGGGATTACAGGCATGAGCCACTGCGCCCAGCCTGTCTGGTTTTCTTATTTCTCGCTTGCCACCAACAATGTCATGTGATGTTTTTGCCAAAGTAAATGAGTGTTATAACTACTTTGTGAAGGTTTGGTTTTATTCTCATTCCATTTGTGGTGGAATGAAATTCTTAAAAATTCTAAATTAGACAGACACAGTGATGTGCACCTATAATCTCAGCTACTCAGGAGACTGAGGTGGGAGGATTCCTTGAGCCCAGGAGTTTAGTTCAGCCTGGGCAACATAGTGAGATCCCTCTCTCTCAAAAAAATTAAAAATTAAATCAATACAATTCCAAAGTATGTGTTATACATTTTGGTCTACTTCACAGACTAATAGTTCTAAGAATCACATTGATTGATTGACAGGATCTCCCTCTGTTGCCCAGGCTGGAGTGCAGTGGCACATTCACAGCTCACCACAGCCTTGATCTGCCAGGCACCATCATGCATGGCTAATTTTTTGTTTTTTGTAGAGATGGGGTCTCTACAGTGGTTTTTGAGATCTGATCTAGCCCGGGCTAGAGTGTATTGGTACAATCATAGCTCCCTGTAGCCAGGAACTCCTGGGCTCAGGTGATCCTCCTTTCTCAGCCCCCCGAGTAAGTAGGACTGTGGGCATGCACCATCATGCATGGCTTATTTTTTATAAGGGGTCTTGCTGTAGGGTCTTGCTGTGTTGCCCAGGCTGGTCTTGAACTCCTGGCCTCAAGTGATCCTATCACTTCGGTCTCCCAAAGCCACTAGGATTATATGCATGAGCCACCATGCCCAGCCTTAGAATTACTTTTTTAAAGGAGTCACATGACCTGAAGCTTAATGGAAAAGATGTTTGTAAGGACTTCATGATGGAGAAATAGAAGAGTTAGAAGAATATTGTTTAAACTGCTGAAAATAAAGCCATGTTTTTAATCCGCTTATTCTGTAGGTGATACTGTGCTTGTCCACCGAGTTCACAGTTATTTAGAGCGTCATGGTCTTATCAACTTCGGCATCTATAAGAGGATAAAACCCCTACCAAGTAAGGACCTCCTACCTGGCTGATAAATTTTACATTTTTAAGTTACGGTTTCAGGACTGTGTATTATGTCTATGATGTTAGGATTTTATTTTGATTCATAAGACTATATTTAAAAATATTTCCAAGTTTATCTTATAAGTCAAGTTTAATAAATAATAAAAAATAAAGTCTCTGAATAAATGTGCATTTCCCTTAATTTCTAGTTTGATAGCTACTTAGTAAAAGATACTGGATTTCCAACTTAAAAAAAAGAATAAAACGGTAAATTTGTTAAAAATGAGAGGAGTTCATTTTGAGGTTTTTCTCTCATTGACCCATTCTTTATGTTGTCAACAGTTGCTTTTTTTAATGCTTCAATCATTTTTTCAAAAAGAAGTACTAACTTAAGACTACAAGGGTAGAAGTTAAGGGAAATAGCTTATATGCAGAATGTGTCCTAATATAATAATGAAGCAGATTATTAACCAAATTAACTAAGAATCACAGATACTGAAATACATGCCTGTGATATTGAGAAAATAAATCTTAAGATAGTGGATTTAATTTATAAATGTTCGACACTGAATTTGAATTCATAAGTTTCAGCTATTCGTTCATTTGTTTTCAGGTAGTTTTCATATTTTGAAAATAACTCTGAATGTTTTACTTTGTAAGATATTATAATATGTTAAGAACCTAGAGGTTTTCATGAAATAAGACTGTAAGTACAAACTTTTATGCCTACAACAAAATACTCTTTTTTTCATTTTTTGCTTTTAGCTAAAAAGACAGGAAAGGTAATTATTATAGGCTCTGGGGTCTCAGGCTTGGCAGCAGCTCGACAGTTACAAAGTTTTGGAATGGATGTCACACTTTTGGAAGCCAGGGTAAGAATTGCCTTTTGAGTTTAGAGGCTTGACCTATTGGAAACATGGTAAGCAAATTATCTGTTGCAAATTAAGGAATTATACAACTTGAACTAAGTCAAATTGATTTGTAAAATAGAGTGTTTTGGATAGTGTTATTTATATTTTAAAGACGCATTTTTTCATATGAATGCTTTGAAAAGTGCTCTGTGAGGAGGGTTTTAGAATATTTCTTTTCCTGACTGACATTTTCAGATCATTGTTTCTTGTAGTTAGCTCTTAAATTTGGGGCCTTCATGGACATATCTTTTGTTAGGAGGCAGTTATTTTTGGTGGTGGAACAGAGTGAATTCCCTATTTCTGATAAAGAAAAAAAGCTGCCTCTCAGGCAGGAACCATCTTTTAGAAGCCAAGATACTGTTTTTTTTCCTGTTAGTCCTAGAGAGAGAAATGGAAACAGGAGGAGCAATAAGGGATAATGACACACAGTAGGAAAAAGAGCATATATTGGGATGCTACTGTTCAAGCTATTTTCATGAATAATTTTTGAAATCTAATTATCTTCTAATGGCTTTAAACTGCTGATTTTTTAAGAGAGTATGGGGAAATTGAAATTAAATATTTTCGTGATACACTGTTATTAAAAATTTTATATATTCAGAAAACATTTTTGTGCACTTTGTACATTTTGTATTGAAAAATACAATAAGGAATAATAGGACCATTATGATTCCTACCCATGAGGAGTTTATAATCTAGTGCATAGGTTTTTGTTTTGTTTTGCATTTTTGTTTGTTTGTTTGGAGTTCCAGAGTACTCTTACATTATTTATAATCATTAAATTATCGCTAGAACTCAGCCATACTTGAAAATCCCTGGTCAGCAGTGATAAACCTGGGCCTATCTAGGGATGAAAGGTAATGTGAACAGGCTATGTTCAGTACGGACTCTCTGCCCCTGGGCATAGGGCTGCACTGGAGAACCATTTGTCAGAAAAATTACCCTTCAGATTTTTCCCAGCTGACTTTGGGGATCAGGGTGTAAGAGTCAGATTACAGTGGTAGAAAGTTGGTATTTAAATAGTGTTGGGATTTGTGAACAAGTATTTTCTATGTGGGTAGCCTCGTTCATCCTGTACTTTAAAAGGTATTATAGACAGCCGGGTAGAGAGGTACCTGTGACTAAATATATCTTCCAACTGTCAAGTTGTTTTATATCACATCATTTAATTCTGTGTCATTTAGTTATATGACATTTAATTATATGTCATTTGTTGCCTGCTTCTCCTTCAAATAGTCTTCAAGTTAAACTTCGTTTGTTCTTTGTGCCCATAGCACTGTTGATTGCATTCCATGTAAACTCTACATCTTTATTTTTAAATTATAGAAGACAGAGCCATGGTATATTACTATGGCAGGTTTGTGGTTAAAACACAATTGATGATTTTGGCTATTTAATTTCTGAAACAGGATCGTGTGGGTGGACGAGTTGCCACATTTCGCAAAGGAAACTATGTAGCTGATCTTGGAGCCATGGTGGTAACAGGTCTTGGTAAGTAGCTATTGGTTTGTCCTATAGTACATGGTCTGAGACTCATAAAATAAAAAAAAAATTTAAAGCCAGAGATGCAATTTTAAAATGTATTGATTTAGAATAGTTATCTTCTGTTAGTGAGAGGTATGGCAGTATGTGGAAAATGTAAATTGTACATATCTTTTGACCTAGAGTACCTTTTTCTAGTTCTGGGAAATTATCCTATGAAGATAAGTAGATAATGTGTTTGAAGCTTTTTTTTTTTTTTTGTGAGACAGTCTCGCTCTGTCACCCAGTCTGGAGTGCAGTGGCGTGAACTCCACTCACTGCAGTCCCCTCCTGGGTTCAAGCAATTCCCCTGCCTCAGCCTCCCGAGTAGCTAAGACTACAGGCACATACCACCATGTCCACCATGCCCAGCTAATGTTTTGTATTTTAGTAGAGGCGAGGTTTCACCATGTTGGCCAGGATGGTCTTGATCTCCTGGTCTCATGATTAGCATGGCATTGTTTTTGTTTGTTTTGAGACGTGGTCTCGCTCTTTTGCCCAGGCTGGATTGCAGTGGCATGATCTCAGCTCACTGCAACTTTGCCTTCCATGCTCAAGGGATCCTCTCACCTCAGCCTCCCTAATAGCTTGGAGTACAGGCATATGCCACCATGCTTGATTAATTTTTAATTCTTTGTAGAGATGAGGTCTCACTATATTGCCAGGCTGATCTGAATTCCTGGGCTCAAGCGATCCTCTCAAAGTGCTGGGATTACAGCACTGGTCTCGAACTCCTGACCTCAGGTGATCCACCCACCCCACGGCCTCCCAAAGTGCTAGGATTACTACCATAATCCTATGTGGGCATTAGCCAGCTTGCCCATCCCTGGCATTGTTTTTCATAGCAGAATATTAGAAACCACAGATTAGAATATTATACCATGAGCAATATACAGCCACTGAAAATCATGTAGCTCTGTATTAGTGTAAAACAATGTCCACAATATATTGCTAAGTTGAAAAGAGATTATAAAACAGTACTTATTATGATCCTTTTGTGTGTGTCTGTAATTTTATACACTTAAAATCTAGAAGGATCTGTAATAAAATGTTAATTAGTGGGATTATAGGTAATTTTTTTGCACTCTTCATGTTTATCTTACATGTTTTTACTTGGAGTGCTTTTTTGAGAAATAATTTACATACTATAAGCTTTTGAGCAGTTTTTGAGTAAAAATATTTTTTACTGTGAGATTTTTGTTCTCTCTTCGTAGGTCTATTGAATTTAATTGCTTGAGTTTTTTCTAGGAGGGAATCCTATGGCTGTGGTCAGCAAACAAGTAAATATGGAACTGGCCAAGATCAAGCAAAAATGCCCACTTTATGAAGCCAACGGACAAGCTGTAAGTCAAGGACAAACAGAACTTTCAACATTTCTTTGGTTCAGTTGAAAACAATTTTAGGAGAATGGTATGGATGAGCATATACATATATACACATACAGAGGTGTATATATATAAACTGAGGGTAGAGATGATGTGACGTTATTCTGATTGTTTCTTAACTCTGAGCTATGTAAGAAGGGATTATTGTATGTATACACATTTACCTGTCTGTTTAACATTTATCTTTAGATATTTAATGAAGGCTAGCTAGACAGTTAATCTTTTTATTTGGCTGTGGCCCCTTACTCCAAGGGACTTGTGGAATTGAAACCTGATTCTTCGTTTTTTTTGTATTGTGCCTTCCATCATGTGCTTTAGCTCCATGTGTTCTTTATGACTTCAGTTTTGTGTTTATAGGCTAATATTTTTGATGGGCTAATAGCCAAATGGTGGTACTTACCCACATGCTTAGATAGGCTAAAGTATATTTGTTGACCAGAGGCATAGGAGCTTCCTATACTTAGTATGACTGTAGCATGGAACTGATGAATGGTATGGGGAATTGCACAGTTTAACAACTTTAAGATAGGCTTAAATTACGTAAGTCAGTCCTAATTTTTAGAAGTGAGTGAAATTCAAAAGTTTGTATTTAGCAGAAATTTTAGTGATTCCCTTTATCAAGATGAGAACCCACACTTCTCAGGATATAAGCACATATTATCTTTATATTTGGGGAAAAGGGTGATTTCCTGTGTATACAGTGGGTTTAGCTACTGTTACTAAAAGTGGTAGGATCCCAACTCTTGAATTTTGTGTGATATGTTTCAAGGAACATCCTCACTTATTCCTATCTACCTTAAGGCTTTATGGAGTTCCTATCAAGAGAAGGGCAGACTCTCAGGGAATGCTTTGGTTTCCATCCCCACCATCATGGTCCAAATTTCCTACCAGTACTTGGGTGGGGTGGGTAACAGGAGGCTTCTTGCAGAATAAACTGAGCAGAATGAGAGAGAAAGGATGAAGTAGAGATTAACTCAACAGTTGAGTAAACTTCTCTTACTCTACCAAGATCTGTAAAGGATATAGAGATGAATAAGATAGTCCCTGCTATAGTGGTACTTGTACAGAAATAATTCTTTTTTCCCAACTTTTTGTCATGGAAATTTTAAAACATGGACAGAAGTAGAAAGAGTACTGTAGTGAACCTGTTTTCCCAATCTTGTTTTATCTGTTCCATTCCTACACTTTTGAGTCCAGGGGAAGTCTGGAGTATTTTAAAGCAAATCACAAACATAACATCCATAAATATATTAATACCAGTAACATACAGCAAAAGCCAAGGATTAGACAGAAGAGCAAATTGCTGTGGAAGAACCAAGGTGGCAAGAGAATGTATGAAGGTGTGAGGGAAAGGGCACTAAGAGATCTGGAGGGAAGGAGAACATTTGTGAATGGCAAATCAGGATTGCAGGCAGAGGAGGCTTAAGTCTAAGCAGAAAGTCTGTAAAGGAGGATGGGATTATACCAGTGAGGGTAGGAAGATAGAAAATTTAGGGTGGGGCCATGTTGTAGTGGATGTTACTTGCTAGGCTTGGTTGTAGGTTGGAACTTGAGAGGTTTGAGAACAGGGGAGATGACATGATTAAGTCAGCATTGAAAGTATAATATTAATAGTAGGTAATAAGTACAGAATTGAAGTGAGGAGAAGCAAGGCTCTAGAGTGGCTGTTACAGTCATCAAGAAGTGGTAAGAGTCCACAGTAAAGATTAATCACTGATCATTGAGACACCATCTTTTTCTTTAGACTTTTCTGAATGTAGAGCAGGTTCATTAATTTTTTCTAACAGTAAAGAGAGAAGTTTTTTCTAGTAGAGATACCCAGAGAAGTGGACTGCTTTCTTGGTATTAGATGAGCTTTAGCGCATTTTTTAAAACACTTGTTTCTGTACCACTGCTGTCCTCAGGTGGGGCCTGCACTGGCTGCCACTCTGTGAACTAACTGTTGATTACCAGTGTGGGATGAAATAAAGAAATTACACTGCTAACCACACTGTTAATTCAGTTGGTGGCTTTTTTTTTCCTGGTAGCAAAACTCTCAGTGAAGAAAGTGGTACATTGATTTATCCACATCTTACCAGGACCAGCCCTTTGAGTAGCACTGTAAACATTTGTTAACCTCGTGTGTGGTTTTCAGCATTTTGAATGCAAGGATATTTTTCCCAATGAAATTGGTAGTTGTCATTCAACTCTGATATGTATAGGATTTTTCTAAGTTGATACATTTATATTTGGTGCAGTAGCCAAGTGATAAGGAATATTTTAAACCATTCTCAAATTTGGGAATGGATTCTTTGCAGCTTTGATTTATGCTTGCCTTAGTTAATCAAACATAAGGCATGCTAATGTTTCTGTACTGCTGTCTCCAGTTGTCTGTCTCAGAGTAAGAATGGAAAACTGTTGACTAATAAACTAGCTTTTTTTTTTTTTTTTTGGAGACAGAGTCTTGCTCTATCACCCAGGCTGGAGTGCAGTAGCACAGTCTTGGCTCACCGCAACCTCCGCCTTCCGGGCTCAAGTGATTCTCCTGCTTCAGCATCCTGAGTAGCTGGGATTACAGACGTGCCCCACCACGCCTGGCTAATTTTTTTGTATTTTTAGTAGAGATGGGGTTTCTCCATGTTGGCCAGACTGGTCTTGAACTCCCGACCTCAGGTGATCCACCCACCTTAGCCTCCCAAAGTGCTAGGATTACCAGCGTGAGCCACTGTGCCTGGCCTAAACTAGCTTTTGAACAAGCTTATAGGACAAGTACAAAGAGCCCCGCTAATTTATGCTTGTAATTACAAATACATTTCATGGCTTTAGCGATCTAAAGAGAGGTCAGTAGCTTTATTCTGTTATTGCGGGAGAAGAAACTAAAGCTTATAGGTCAGTAGCTTTATTCTCTTATTGCAGGAGAAGAAACTAAAGCTCACACGTGTGTTTGCCTAAGGTTATCATAATCAGTAAGTTGAAGAGCCAGAATCCATTGCCTGGTGTTCTGGTTCAGATTCCCATACTTGTTTGACTACAGCCTGCTGACATTTCAGGGAAGATGGGGTGAGGTGAGTGTATGCACCTCTTTCTAACTGCCTGTGTGACGACATCAGCTAAGTCTCCTTCTCTGAGAGCTTTGTTTCAGTAGTTACTCCTGGAGCCAGCAAGGCCTACCTAAAGTAAAAATTCATTCAGTCATTGATTTTTCTTTAGTAAACTGTTGGATGAAATGGGGTTGGTTCTGTTTCTCCATGCTTTGTGGACAGCTTCAGTCAAAAAAAGACTGACTTGTTGGTTCTGTTGTTAGTACATAGAAATTAATGATGTCATCCTGTAGAAGGCCAGAAAGTTACTCCGAGTTATATCACTAGTAATAATGTGTGAAGGACATATCTGCATACCCAGACATTTTGCTGCTGTAGGAAAGGAATCATATAGCAAGTGATTTTTATTTTATGTCATTGTTTTAATCACAATCACAAGAATCCCTAAAAAAGTTTACCTCTCTGTTCTCTCTCCTACATTTGTAGCTAGTATATTGAGTTTCTGTGTTTGTTTTTGACAAGGGACATTTATTTTATGGCTTTGGATGACTAGAACAAGGACTTCCCTAGTAAATATATTAATATGAGGGATATAATATAGAGATATAAAATAATGTAGGGATACTAAGCATATCCCTCTAAATAGAAGGGATCTCCACTACCTTAAGCCTATAAAACAATCAAAGCTAGTATAGCAGCTGCCTTCAGTTGATTGGTGATGGAGTTATACTCTGACCTATGCTGTCATCAGTGACAGCTTTAACTGGACATGGAGAAGGTTGGGAAATAGGGTAATTCATATTTCAGGGAACATTTTGCTGGTCTCTGCTGAGGGGACTGAAAACACAATGGGTTGGGGAGACAGTGAAAATGGCTCTGAATGTTTTCTGCATCTCCTGTACACCAGCTAGTAACTCATGGGCTTTCTTTTTTTTTTGTTTGTTTTTTTAGGGTCTCTTAATCAAATTCCCACAGTACTATAGCATTCTGTTTCACAAGGTCTCTGGTCATTTGTGTGTGTGTGTGTGGTTACCAAGTGAGATCCAGAGGGTCCAGTAACTCCTTTGAAAAACTGAGCTTTGATTTTCTTCTTGGGAATGGCTCAGCTGTTAAGAGAATGACAGACAACATATGAAAAGTAATAGGTGTCAGGTCTCTTACAAAGACCATTAACTAAAGGTGTATTAGGTATCTGTCATAACTTAGCCAGTTTTCATTTGTGTTCTTATACAGTGGTGCTTAGGTTAGTACACCTTTGACACAGACCTCTTGGCCTTTTTGGTTTTCTTCCTTTGAGGAAACATTTTCAATATCTTTATGACAGTCTTTCTCTGCCCTTTAAAATCATTACTGCCAATCCATGCTTGTTTATAAATGTAAAAATCTCATGCCTTCCTTTAATGGTCCTGAAGTTGCAAATAGTTTTTGCCCCCTTAATTATAGTTATAATACTGATTTTGCTTTTCCAAACTGTATTTATTTGTTTAACAAGAATTTACTGGACTAAAAACTGCTAGAGAGAACTACTTAGATATGTTGTGTGTGCCTTTTCCATACACTCTAATCACTGCTTTAAGGAAGTCAAAAAGATTCCTTATGGGGTGGGAGTTGGGGGAGACAACAGTCTCTGTAGAATCACATTGATTGTTTTGTTTTGGAGACAGGAAGATCTTGCAGTGTTGCCCAGGCTGGAGTGCAGTGGCACAAACATGGCTCACTGTGGCCTTGCCCTCCTGGGCTAAAGTGATCTCCCACCTCAGCCTCCTGAGTAGCTGGGACCACAGGCACACACCCCTACACCTGGCTACTTTAAAAGAATTTTTGTAGAAATGGAGTCTCACTATATTGCCCAGGCTGGTCTCAAACTCCTGGACTCAAGGGATCCTCCTGCTTCAGCCTCCCAAGGTGCTGGGATTTATAGATAAGAGCCACTGCGCCCAGCCTAGAATCACGTTGAATTTTATTTGCATTAAGGATATATTCCCCTGTAGGGATAATAGCTATATCTCATTTCCCTTGGCTGTTGAGGAGAATCTGAAATTAGAGACTCTTCAGAAGTAAATTTCTTCTTCCAGGTTTTACCAAATGAACTAATCTTAATCTTCTGCTTCACCATCATTCTAGAAGTGCTCGATGGCATGGGATGGGGAGGTGGAGATTGGCTGTCTAGTCAGATTTGGCATTTACTGCTTTTTTCTGATTCTTTCTGGGGATTTCTCTGGCTAAATCTCAGACCTTTCATTACCTAGTGTATGTTGCTGCATTTAACTCTATTCTGCTCTGCTGCTGGAGAGTTTGTGAAGACTGGAAGTAAGATAGGTGTACAATGTTTTTGAAGACCTAAAGAGCTTGTCAGAATGAAACCAGAGGTAGAACTAAAGAGAGCTGTCCTTCTTCCTTTGAGATTACTTCTTGCAGGACCAGGGACCTTGTCCAGAAAGGTGTTTGGCTTTCCCACATTCTGCATGGGGTAGACACACAGGCTTCCCTTCCCCTGGACACATTTAGAGATAGTTCATATAATCTACTGGACCAGGACAATCAGGATTGAACCTATTTGGAACAATGAGACTCTTCAAATTCTCTTAGTCTTGAAGGAACTATTTACCTGGAGCCTTTCATAGAGTAATAAATGGTTTCAAAAAGTCAGTCAAAATCTGTTTAAAGTGATGTCCATTTTGTTTGCTTCTTAGATAGAAGGCTCTTACATTATTGGTCCTTTCCCCAAAAATGCTTTTTAGTTTGCTGTTACAAGTTCTCACTGTGTTGCAGTGTAGAAATCCACCTGCCTTCTAATGTGGTACTTAAAACCCTTTGTAATCATTCGTTGAGTTTCTTTCTCGGGATACAAGTTAAGGATCTAGATTAGAATAGTCAGGTAAGATTTAGATTATTGTGACCTATGTTTAGCGATTGCCAATATTTCAATTCCATTTTGTTGTTATTGTTCTATAATAATTTGTAGAACTAATAGAATCCAAGGATTCTCATCAAGGGGAAATAAATGACTTAAAGTATGGGTAGTTTGGGGTTGTCAGGGTAGTCATTTGTTAGTTCCTTTTATTGTCTGGGTATGTTAAATAGAATATTTCTAACTAGCTTGCTTTTAGAAATGATTGTGATTTAAAGGTATTAAAAACACATTTTGGTTTTCTCCCAGTCAGTATTGATTTCCTAAGGGACAAGTATTTTATGTATTATTTTCCAAATATTCCTTTAATTTCCAAGTGAAATTTTAATGTTAGTGGGGGAAAAAAAGCCAGGTTTCAGAGCTATCCCTGGCTGCACTTGCAACATTCATGTAATTGCTTAGGTGGAAAATGGATGGGGCCTGGTGGCTGACAATCTCAAATAATCTCATACAACTGAGCCTAGGGTTAGAATGGTGTACCGGAGATGCAGTCCTGTCATCTGGTGTCAGTCAAATGTGGCAGCAATCTTTTGGTTTGGTTTTTGTTTGTTTGATTTTGTTGTTGTTGTTGTTACTGTTCTGTGTTTTTCCTTTCCTCTTTTGAGTTTTGCTTTTTTCCTCACTGCTTTCTGACACTTCCTCCTCACTCCCCCGCCTTTTTTTAACTGCCTTTCTTTTGGCCATTTCTATGCCTTGACTTTCCCATTTAGTCTCTGTACTATCTGTTCCTTATTTCTCTGGTGGTTGCAGCTTCTGAGCTAACAGAATGCTTCTGTCATGCTATGTGTTTAAAGCCTTGATTTTATTGCTGTCATACAAAACTAAACTTGACGTGGCTGTTGGGCTGTTATTTACAGTTTATTTCTCTCTCTGCTGCACTGGTTAAAAGGACACTGTCAAGGTATTTTTTTCATAATTTTTCAAATCATTTTCCTCACTGTTTACAATAACCCATTAAAAGCTTGAAACCTAAATCTTTTCCTTTCAAAGATCCTCTCCATCATACATTCACACTGGTTTGTTGTTGTAGAGTTGCGCCTATATGTTGGGCTGGTGCCATTTGAGTTTTTGTCATTGAAAGCGCGTGTAAAACATTAGGTTTTTTGTGGGTGGTGTGGGTGGACTAAGGGGGAAAGTGTAATGAATCCAGTGGGCTGCTCAGCAAACAGAGGGAGGAAACAGAGGTCAAATTTGGTCCCTCTAACCTTGACAGTGTCCCTTTAAATATTTCTCTACCACACACCCTAGACCCCAGTTACTGAGCCTGAGTGCTGTGTACTTTTTCAGTATGAACTTCCCTATGTGATTGTCATCCTAGTTGCAAAGATTAAAGCTTGTCTGAAGCAAACCATCCAGTTGACACTGGAAGAGCTTTAATCTGTACCATTTGCACCCTTGCGTATTGACACATTCTGCCCTATTGTAGAGGCATATGTGATCTAGTAGTCCCTCTTGCTGCTGTAGCATCCTCTTGCTAGGCATTTTAGAAGCAACACATAGAAATACCACTTTTATACTCCAAGAAAATCAGTCATACGCATTGCATCTGTGATGAATTAAGGTCTCATAACTACCTGGATTTCACATTGAAATGTAATTGTTTCCTTTTTGAAAGAAGAACCAAATTTAGATTTCCAGAACCGTCTTTTGTAGCATCATTGCAGGATTTGCACTGGAAGTAGCACATTTCTGAGCAAAATTTCGGCATTGTTTGAGTCGCTCTATATATGACCATCACATATCACATCAGTGAGGAAAAGTAGCTGAAAAAGTAAATGAAATTCCTGACCAAAGGGTCTGTCTCTTCCATCAGCTCTCATAGCTGTGTAAAAGAGCAAGCTCTTTTTTGACCATTGAGTTGAATGAGTAATAGGTCAGAGGTTTTTGATCCACCAGTCCTAGGTACCTTCCTGATATAAATGGCACCAAGCATCCAAAGCCTGATTCTCTGCCTCATTTAACACAAACCAGAATATTTTTAGAGATTTAGATTTTCTTTAGGCTAAGGGTAATTCTTTAATTATAAAGACACCCTCATCTCTCCCGTGTATAGTCTTTTGGAACTTACTGCTTTGAATGTGATTTTGATTAAATCAGTTACGGCGTCTCTCATATTTACAGTTCAAAGGAGAGTTGCAGTCCTCTTTCTTTTTGGGAGCAGATTGCCCTTCTTGCCAGATTCTTTCTGCCACACATTGGCTTATCTCATAGAGTTACTTGTGTGATCAGTGAAGGAGCAGAGGCCAGGGTTCAAAATCATCTGTTAAGTTGGGAAGTAGAAAAACTGTGGAGTTTCAAATGAGAGGTAGAATATTATTGGGATGGACTTGTCAACAGTCAGTTATCTCTGATTGTTAGAGGTCGCTCCTCCTGAGTCTTAGTGTTTACTAGAATTTACTTCCATGTTTTATTTTTGTGTTACCAATTTTAGGTTGACTGTGTAATGAAATTCCGTGTTTTGAATCACATTTCCCAGCTGATACCAGCCCAGCTTATAACAAGCAGTGCTTGCCTTAAACATCTTTTTTCTTTCTCTCACTTCTGCCATGAATTCAACAATAGGATTGCATATACAGTTTACTTTGGGGCTGAATTAAGCAGTAGCAGAGGGGTGCTTGTGAACTAACTGATGTTATCGGTAGGCAGGCACACAGCATGGCTTAGGATCATGGTCTTCCAGCTTGATGATCTGCTTTGCATTCTGTTTGCTTCATCCACATCAATGAGGAGCCAGACCTTCTGGTCCTCCATTTACTCATAGACTCTCTTAAGAGCTTTGTACATTCAATTCTCAACTTATTGGTGCCATAAAATATTATTACTGTGCAAAAGAACAAAAGTGCTAGTGTGTTCTTATTAGTAGCCATGAATTTCATTTCTCTTTTCTCTCCTCCCACCTGAGATTCATCTTTGAGGGGAAGCAGATAGATACCTTGGGCTTCTTATTTTCCCATCCTGCCCTTATTCTTGGAAGGTCCTCAGATTTGTTGACATAGTTTTTGTTCTCTGGGACTTTTCTAGTGTGTTGTTTGCATGTTAGCCAGCTCAACTTAATGCATGTCAGCTCAGTGCCACTTGTGCTCCATGTGACTTCAGTTAGCACCAGTGTGAATCTTGTGGCTGTTAACAGAGGTGGAGTCCCAGCTCTGAGGGCAGAAGTGGGAGAAGAGGAAATCGTCAGGGCCCAAACATTTCATATCTCATTTAAATGGATTTGACCACTTCATAGAAAAGAAAATTTGAATCATTGTGCTCAAAGGTTTCCCCTTTGAGATACATATTTTGACCTTTATAAACTATAGAGCATTTGTGTTTTCATGGATGGATATGTTTAGTTTTATAAGGACCAACTCTGCTATACTTCGGATTTTCAGGTTCCTAAAGAGAAAGATGAAATGGTAGAGCAAGAGTTTAACCGGTTGCTAGAAGCTACATCTTACCTTAGTCATCAACTAGACTTCAATGTCCTCAATAATAAGCCTGTGTCCCTTGGCCAGGCATTGGAAGTTGTCATTCAGTAAGTACTTTGATAGTGCTTATTGTATAGTGAGTTCCATGTGTAAAGATTTGCCATTTATGTTTTAAGTTTTTCTGCAAGTCTTATTTGAGCTAGTTTTTACTTAATTTCATGTGAAACCATTGAATCCAAAATTAAAAGTTATTTAAAATAATTATATGATCTCTTAAGGTCCCTTTCACTTCTAAAATTCATTGCTTTTGTGGTATTATACTGTATTTAACATAGCCTAGGAAATAATTTCCCACTAGCCAACTTTCTTGTTCCTAAGTATTAGAAGTTTCAGTGGGCCTTGATGCCCTTAAATGTTTTTGATGGGCACCTGTCTTATTTTGCAAAGTTGGCTTTGAGACCAGATTATACATATTGTCTCTCTTAGGTTACAAGAGAAGCATGTCAAAGATGAGCAGATTGAACATTGGAAGAAGATAGTGAAAACTCAGGAAGAATTGAAAGAACTTCTTAACAAGGTGAAATTCTGTATTTTCTTTATAGCTGAAGAAGCTTTATTAGGAGAAAATGTCTTTAGAAATTTTAAAAGCATTTCTGAGACTTTTTTCTCCATGGAAGAGAAAGTCTGCACAGCTGGGACTCATTCTTAAGAAAATAATGATTAACAAAAGAGACTGTTTTATCTGTCAGTGTTTTGGTGTGGCATTATTGATAAATGTTGCCAGAGGAAATAGATCTTTCCTCTTTTTCTGGTTCCCTTTAGCTCAGGGTTGTCCAATCTTTTGGCCTCCCTCAGTCACATTGGAAGAAGAAGAATTGTCTTGGGCCACACATAAAATGCACTAACACTAATGACAGCCGATGAGCTTTAAAAAAAAAAAGAAAGAAAGAAAGAAAAGAAAAGAAAATTCAGTGTTTTGAGAAAGTTTATGAATTTGTGTTGGGCTGCATTCAGAGCTGTCCTGGGCCACGAGTTGGACAAGCTTAGTTTAGCCATTCTAAAGCTATCCCAGTGCCCTCGGCTGAATTCTAGGACTAGCAGGAGATTAGCTGTACTGGAGCCAAGTTTCCATTGGTGAAGACCAACAAATCAGCAGCCAGTTCATTGGCATAATTACTTCTCTTGAGTTGCCACCACCCCCACCTCTGTTCCCCAGGGCTGAACTCTTAGGGCTCTTCTCTGCCACCACCTTCCAGCGCCCCAGGCTCCAGAGCATTAAAGTCCAACCATTTGTTTCTCCTCACCCTGCCAGCTGCAAAGGTCACATGAGCTTAGGGAGAAAATAGCCCCTGGAGGGGGCCTTTATAGTGCATACTCTGGGTGTGCCTGTGACTGGACTCTTGCCTCACTCTCACTGTGCCTCATTTCTTCATCCGGTCTGATGAAGAGGTCTCCAGCTCACAGTCTTCATGGATTGTGGTAAGGATGAAATGAGAAGAGTGACTTAAGAACTGCCAAGTGGCAGGATACCTATAGGGTGCCCAGTCTCAGGCTTTGTCACTCTTGGCCTGTGTAGTATCATCAGAAACCTGAAAAAAGCTAACATTAAGAATGGTTCCTTAAGATTCTTTGGCCAGGCACAGTGGCTCACGCCTATAATCCCAACACTTTGAGAGGCTGAGGCAGGTGGATCACTTGAGGTCAGGAGCTCGAGACCAGCCTGGCCAAATGGTGAAACCCCTTCTCTACTAAGGTATAAAAAATTAGCTGGGCATGGTAGCACACACCTGTAATCCCAGTTACTCGGGAGGCTGAGGCATGAGAATCATTTGATCCTGGGAGGCAGAGGTTGCAGTGAGCTGAGATTGTGCCATTACACTCTAACCTGGGTGATAGAACAAGACTCTGTCTCTTAGGAAAAAAAAAAAGTTATTTGACCTTTTACATATTTAAAAAACACATTATAGGACCAGGCGCGGTGGCTCACGCCTGTAATCCCAGCACTTTTGGGAGGCCGAGGCGGGCGGATCACAAGGTCAGGAGATTGAGACCATTCTGGCTAACATGGTGAAACCCCATCTCCACTAAAAATACAAAAAATTAGCCAGGCGTGGTGGCGGGCGCCTGTAGTCCCAGCTATTCGGGAGGCTGAGGCAGGAGAATGGAATGAACCTGGGAGGCGGAGCTTGCAGTGAGCCGAGATCACGCCACTGCACTCCAGCCTGGGCAACAGAGCGAGACTCCGTCTCAAAAAAAAAAACACATTATGACAATTTGTTTCCGAAAATAAGTTCAAGTTACAATAGCGATATTTTCTTTTTTGTGGGTATTAAATTTATTTCAATACTGGGTTTTTTGTTTGTTTATTTAAATTAATGGGACACTCCTCATCCTTCTCATTCATTTTAGAAGGCAGCACTGATCTTACTTAGCAGATAGTTGTGGTACCTTTATGTCAAGCCCTATAAGATTTCTTTCCTGTTTCCCAGATGGAATGATGTAGGTTAGAACAAGTATTTAAGAATTCTAAGGACCTTGCACTGTAGCCCTGTTTTGTTGTGATAGCAGTTTTGAGGAGCCAAAAAAGGGTACATGTGATACAGACATAAACTACATTACTATCTGGAGTGGTAAATTTGTGCTTTTCCTTCTTAGATGGTAAATTTGAAAGAGAAAATTAAAGAACTCCATCAGCAATACAAAGAAGCATCTGAAGTAAAGCCGCCCAGAGATATTACTGCTGAGTTCTTAGTGAAAAGCAAACACAGGGATCTGACCGCCCTATGCAAGGTGTGGTATACATACAGGCTTAACTGGTTTTACTTGGAATCCTAAGAAATAGCACAGATCTGGGGAATTTTGGAAAAGAGAGCTACTAGCCAATCACAAGTGCCTTCAGTGCAATGAAGACGATTTGGTACATAGTGAGCCATGGGGATTTAATGGGTTAGTTTGGTTTAAGACCTGCTTGTCCTGCAGAATTCTTATCCTGTCTTAATAATCTCATCATTTTATCTTAAATCTCAGTTTAGCCGTAACAGTTTAGAGTAAGAGTATTAAACATGGACTTCAGAGTCATTTGGGGTCAAACTGTCAAATCCCTAACTTGGAGTCTCGAGCCATGTGACCTTGGACTCCTTAATTGCCTCATCTGTAACATGGTCTTAACACCTACCTTGTAGGGTAATTGTGAAGCTTAAATACAATTATGTATAAAATGCTTACCCAGTGCCAGGGACATGGCATGCTTATGAAATGGTACTTGCTATGATTTTTCATCCCCACTTTGTAGCACACTAATATATTTCTTCTATTATTTTCTCCTGTGTGCACCCTGCCTCCCCCTAATATTCCAGGCCCCCAATTGTAACTTGTCTCCAAAAACAAAAATCTCTGAGCTCTATCTAACCCCAGCCTAAAATTGAGCCACACTTCCTATATGTGATCCGAAGAGGAAATATGATCCAGACCTTATACTTTGTGGTATAAAGAAACTAGGTAGATATCTGACCCTTCAGGATAACTCAGATTCACTTAATTTTTATCAGGAGTATGATGAATTAGCTGAAACACAAGGAAAGCTAGAAGAAAAACTTCAAGAATTGGAAGCGAATCCCCCAAGGTAAGGAAAACAAACACAAAAGTTCAGAGGGATAGCTTTTACTGTTCTTTCAGTTTGATTTAGAAGGAAAATTGTAAATCATAGTGAGCTTTTATTTATGTTCAGTGAGTGGTTTAAATTGTTAAATAAATTAATATGTGACTACTTGGGAGGTTTCTAAATCCCCTGCTTCTATATTTTAATGTGTCCTAGATACCTAAACAATTGTTTCTAAAGAGAGAGCCTTTCTCCATAAGATCTGATATTTGGATAAAGATGCAATAGATGGAAATTATCTTTTTTGAGGGGGTAGAAGGTACTGTTGCTTTATACTTCCATAATTTTGAGAACTAGGTGGGTATTAAACTTTATTTCCACTGGGTTTTTGACAGTGAATGCTGGTGAAATGTTTTCACTTGCATCCAGCCTCCACATAAATCTGTTTTGTTCTGTATTCAAGGATGCTGCCCATCCTTTCTTTTTTTGAGATGGAGTCTCGCTCTTGTCGCCCAGGCTGGAGTGCAGTGATGTGATCTCGGCTCACTGCAACCTCCACCTCCTGGGTTCAAGCGATTCTCTTGCCTCAGCCTCCTGAGTAGCTGGGATTACAGGTGCCGCCATCATGCCCGTTTTGTATTTTTAGATGGCGTTTCACCTGTTGGCCAGGCTAGTCTCAAACTCCTGACCTTAGGTGATCCACCTGCCTCGACCTCCCAAAGTGCTGGGATTACAGGCATGTGCCACCACATCCAGCCTGCCCATCCTTTCTATAGAGTCTATGCTGTGTGTAAAATATAAGACTTTTTTTTTTTTTTTTTTTTTTTTTTACAACTAATAAGCTTTTATGATATAAGGTAATTTCATATGAAGAATTCTTTTTTTTTTTTCCCCCAGACAAATGAGGCCTACAGGTAATTTGCTTTACATAGTGAGCTTGGCACTGCTCTAGACATCAGAGATAAAGAGGTTAATAAGACGGATAAGATGCTACTTTTTGATTTGTAATTTCTTCATATAAGGCACAGCCCTGACTTAGATTCCGCCACAGTTATTGAGATCACCTACATCACACTGAGAGAACTAGTGATATCGTTTAATAATCCTGTACTCCTTTGTTCTTCTGCAGTGATGTATATCTCTCATCAAGAGACAGACAAATACTTGATTGGCATTTTGCAAATCTCGAATTTGCTAATGCCACACCTCTCTCAACTCTCTCCCTTAAGCACTGGGATCAGGTAAGTTTCCCTTATTTTTTTTGTTGCACATGTCTTTGAGAGAGATTGTAAGAGAAACAGTTAATTTTGTATGTGTGTTTTTAAACAGCTTTAGTAAGAGACATCATTTAAATACAGTGAAATTCACCTATTTTAAGTGAACAGTTTATTGATTTGCCAGATTTCAGTCATAAGCCCCCACACAATCAGGATATAGAACATTCCCATCATCCTGAAATGTTTTCTCCTGCTCCTTTGTAGTTAATCCCCCGTGCTCTGGCTCCTGGCCCTGGACAACCACTGATTTGCTTTATCACTGTAATTTTGTTTATTCTACAGTTTCATATAAAGTGAATCATAAAGTACATAGCTTTTTGTGTGTGATGTATTTCACTTAGTATAGTTTTTGTGATGTGCATGAAGTTTTTGAGATTCATCTTTTTTGCCTATATCAGTTGTTTGCCTTTTTATTATTTAGTAGAATTCCATTGTGTGGATGCACCCCAGGTCGCTTATCCTTTCACTGGCACCTGAATGGGCTTTTGGATTGTTTCCCTTTTTTGACTTCTAATGAACGAAGCTGCTTAAGAATGTTCATGTCTTTCTCTTGAGTAAATACGAATGGAACTGCTGGGTACTATGGAAAGTGGATTTTTAACTTTATAAATCAACTTCCAAAATATTTTCGAAATTGCCTTCCTACCAGCAATGTATGAAAATTCCATTTTCTCCAAATCCTCACCAATCTTGGTAATGCCAGTTTTAAAAATGTCAGCCATTCTAATAGGTATAGTAGTATTTGCATTTCTCTGATGACTAGTGATGGAGAGCATCTCTTCCTGAGCTTATGAGCCATTCATGTGTCATCTTTGAGTAAATGTCTGCTCAGATCTTTTGCCTATTAAAAAAGTCTGATCGTCTGCTTGTTGATGAGTTTGAAGTTTATTATGTTCTTTAAATTCTAGGCAGAAGTCCTTTGTCAGATTTATGTTTTGCAAGTATTTATTTCCTTCTCATCTGTGGCTTGTCTTTAATTTTGTAAATCTGTCTCAGAGTAAAAGTTGTTTTGTTTTTTTTTTTTTTGAGACAAGGTCTTGCTTTGTTGCCCAGGCTGGAGTGGTGTGATCATGGCTCTCTTGCAGCCTTGACCTCCTGGGCTAAAGTAATCTTCCAGTCTTGGACTCCCATTCCTATTTATAAACTTTTTCTTTTAAACTATGTTCTTTTTGCATCCTGAAAAAATCTTTGTCTTACCTGAGGTACAAAGATTTTATCCTGTGTTCTCTTGCAGAAATTGTATGGGTTTAGCTCTTATGTTTAGGTCTGTACTCCATTTTGAGTTAATTTTTGTGTATAAGGAAAAGTAAGTGAAGGGTTCATGTTTTTCCATATAGTTATGTAATTATTATTCCAGCACCATCCTTTTCTTCATTTCTCTTGGCACCTTTGTTGAAAATTAATTGGCATGTAAGCATGAGTATTTAAGGTTGTCTTTTCTGTTAATTTATATGTCTATCCATATGCCACTATCATACTGTCTTGTAAGTTCTCCAACTTTGTTCATTTTTGATTGTTTTGGCTATTTTAAGGTACATATTTTCATAACAGTTCAACTTGTCAATTTCTACAAAAATCACTTTCTGGGATTTTGATGAGGAGTGCATTAAATTTCTAGATCAATTTAGGGTGAATTGCCATCTTAACAATATTGAGTATTCTTATCCTTAAATACAGTCTACTTCTCCAAAAATGGTTTTCTTTCATTTACGTCAGTGATGTTTTATAGTTCTCAGTGGGCAGGGCTATACCATCTTTTCTTAAATTTCAGTGTGATTTACTCTTCAAGTGAGAAATCACAGGGCTTCTTGAACCAATCTCTAAATCTGAAACTTTGACCAGACTTAAGGCAGTATAGGCTGGGTATGGTGGCTCACACCTTTTTAAACCCAACACTTTGGGAGGCCAAGGCGGGTGGATCAGTTGAGGTCAGGAGTTCAAGACCAGCCTGACCCTGTCTCTACTAAAAATACAAAAATTAGCCAGGCATGGTGGCAGTCACCTGTAATCCCAGCTACTTGGGAGGCTGAGGCATGAGAATTGCTTGAACCCAGGAGGTAGAGGCTGCAGTAAGCGGAGATCACGCCATTGCACTCCAGCCTGGGCAACAGAGCAAGACTCCATCTCAAAAAAAAAAAAAAAAGGAAAAAACCAGTATGGAAGTAAATTATTAAATTTTTACTTACATATTTTAATTTACATTATACATTTTCCTAGTAAAAATTATTTTGACAGGCCGGGCGTGGTGGCTCATGCCTGTAATCCCAGCACTTTGGGAGGCCAAGGCGGGCGGATCACCTGAGTTCGAGACCAGCCTGGCCAACATGGTGAAACCCCATCTCTACTAAAAATACAAAATTAGCCCGGCGTGGTGGCACATGCCTGTAGTCTCAGCTACTTGGGAGACTGAGGCAGGAGAATTGCTTGAACCCGGAAGGCGGAGGTTGCAGTGAGCCAAGATCGTGCCATTGCACTCCAGCCTGAGCAACAAGAGAAAAACTCCGTCTCGAAAAAAAAAAAAATTATTTTGACTTCTTAATCTTTATAAATAATCTGATATTTTTAGTGTTTGAAGAGTTGAACTTGCTAAAGTCTTGCAGAACTACCGTTCCTTTATGATTTTTCATGTAAATACTAAGGTCCTTCTATTCATTGATTTATCATTTGATGTTTCAATATTGTGTCTATTTGTAATAGTATAAAATTTTAAATGAGTGATTTCAACTAGAGTGTTGCTGCCAGCCCAGCATTTTGATCTAATTTCCCCAAGAATTTCATGAAATTAGAAATCCTTACTAGCTTACAAAAAAAAATGTTATATAGAAAAATTTTCAGTAAATTCAGAGAAGTAAGATCATTTTGGGGATCTTTAAATCAGGTCAAATCCTGACTTTTTTTTTTTACTGTGTGGACTGTCTTGGGCCACTCTTTATGATCCTAGATTACCTACATCTAGTTTGACTGACTTGGTTTTGGAAATCTTCCTCAACTTAAAACCTGTAAATTTAAAGCATAAAAATGGATTTTGCTCTCAGGTAAAATAAAATGTAATCAGGACTGTGACCCTGATATCCTTCAAGTCTGTAATGTATTCAAAAGCCAGATAGATCCACGTGATGTTTAATCATCTGGATTTCCTAGATTATCATTCCCCCTACCACCTCCCTACCCTAACCACCATAGAAGATCCAGACTTAGTGGTATTGGACTGGAATGATAAAAACTATCCAGGGAAGGCCAAGCGTGGTGGCTCATGCCTGTAATCCCAGCACTTTAGGAGGCTGAGGTGGGTGGGTCAGGAGTTTGAGACCAGCCTAGCCAACGTGGTGAAATCCTGTCTTTACTAAAAATACAAAAACTAGCTGGGTGTGGTGGCGCATGCCTGTAATCCCAGCAACTACTTGGGAAACTGCAGCAAGAGAATCATTTGAACCCAGGAGTCTGAGGTTGCAGTGAGCCGAGATCATGCCACTGCACTCCAGCCTGGATGACAAAGCAAGACTCTGTATCGGGGGAAAAAAAAAAAAAATCCAGGGAAGAAAGAAACTTCCCTAATCTCACTGCCCAAAGATACAGGGACATTTTGGTGTTTTCTCTTCTTTCTTCAGTTTCCTTTGATAACTGTAACTAAATACTGAGTGATTTGTTCTTTAGTTTGCCTTAAAATATTGACTGTTTCCAGAAGCTTGTGTTTTCATTGTTGTACAGAACTAGGTGCAAATGACACAGATTAAGAAAAGGTTGGAAATATGTTCTTTTCTCTCCTCTTTAGGATGATGACTTTGAGTTCACTGGCAGCCACCTGACAGTAAGGAATGGCTACTCATGTGTGCCTGTGGCTTTAGCAGAAGGCCTAGACATTAAACTGAATACAGCAGTGCGACAGGTTCGCTACACAGCTTCAGGTATGTCACTGCTTTACAAAAGGTAAGAGAGAACTCTCCTGAAACAGGACTGATCTTTTGTTAGGTATGATCTATCAGGTACATTTCCTGATAGAGTGTTTAAACTATGACACCATACGTAAAAACTGGCATTTACAGACAATCGAGCCTATAGAGTCTTTGGTTCTAACCTTATCATTTTATAAACTGGGAAACTGAAGCAAGTTTTAGAGTTTCCAATTTGAGCTAGTTGGATATTACTGGTTGAGCATCCCTAATCTGAAAATCTGAAATCTGCAATGCCCCAGTGAGCATTTCCTTTGAGCACTATGTCAGTGCTCAAGAAGTTTTCCATTTTGGTGAGCCAGTGAGTTTGGATCTAATTTTGTTACGTATATTCATAAATACCAGAATTTTGGCACCTGGGCTCCAGTAGGACCCACCCCTTTTATTTCACCATCTGCATTTTGGTCTTTGGATTCATTTTGGCCTTTTCTATTCAGCTGGGCTAATTCGCTTACGTTTGGTTCCTAGTTCTGGAGCAGTCCTGCTAATAAGTTGACTTCTTCAGAGATAGTTTCCCTGTGCTTGCTATGGGGATAGGCTCAATACTCATTATTATTGCTGGTTTCAGACTACATTTAATGTAAAGTGCAGGCAACTGTTGCATTTTGAACTCTTCAAGATAGCTAGTCATCTCCCTCTCCGAGAACCCATGTGTGACCGTGTAGGCATGAGAAATGGAGACACAGTCATCATTCTTACCCCGCGCTGCCCGTTTCCTTAGAGTTACTGAGATCACCACAGATGTTTTAGTTTTTTCTAACAATCAGTGAAACAGTTTTCCATTTAATTTTCCCATCAGAGGCAGCTTCTAGTTGACAGTGCTGAGAAGATCTGTAGCCTTGAGCCTTTTGCAGGCAGACGGAGAACAGTGAGAATAGATGTTGTGCCATTTTCTCTAGTTCTGCAGCCACAGAAAATGAGCATGTACTGAGCTTTCATATTTATTTTGAGATACATATATATATCTCAAAGTATATATAGTATATAAACAGACATTCATTAAAAAATAAATGAGGCCGGGCACGGTGGCTCAAGCCTGTAATCCCAGCACTTTGGGAGGTCGAGACGGGCGGATCACGAGGTCAGGAGATCGAGACCATCCTGGCTAACACAGTGAAACCCCGTCTCTACTAAAAAATACAAAAAACTAGCTGGGCGCGGTGGCGGGCGCCTGTAGTCCCAGCTACTCGGGAGGCTGAGGCAGGAGAATGGCGTAAACCCGGGAGGCGGAGCTTGCAGTGAGCCGAGATCTGGCCACTGCACTCCAGCCTGGACGACAGAGCGAGACTCCGCCTCAAAAAAATAAAATAAAATAAAATAAAAAAATAAATGAGGAAAATGATAACATAATTTCAGTACCCTCTCTGAGGTCAGCTTTGAGCTCATTCATACTCTGACAAGCTGAGGATGACTGTACATTCTCAAGCATAGCACGCTCCGCAGTTTTAGGCTGCATCCCCCAGATCTGCATCACAGCCTTCTTGTAGCATTCTTCTGTTGGTTGATAGTGAGCAACTAACCACAGTCAGAAGACATTGGTTCTGTTGGGATGAGCATTTTACTCTTTATTTTTGGTCTAAATGTACTTAACTTGAGTAAATGGTAAGGTCCTTTCATTAGTCGAGATCACCAGTGTATCGGGAGGGTAGTGTGGGGATGACAATCAAGGATTCTGAAGTTGACTACGAGGGTTTGAATCCTGGCACTTATTACCTGTGTGGCCTTAGATGTGTTATTTCACCTCTACCTCAGTTTTCTTATGTGAAACATGAAGGTAATGAAAATAGAAAAATGAGAATTGAGAGATGGATGTCCATCTGTTGTACACTAAACGTTCAGTGTCCTTATCAGTGCCATATTCATCACCACTAGTCTTCTCCCACCCAACCTCTGCAGGATGTGAAGTGATAGCTGTGAATACCCGCTCCACGAGTCAAACCTTTATTTATAAATGCGATGCAGTTCTCTGTACCCTTCCCCTGGGTGTGCTGAAGCAGCAGCCACCAGCTGTTCAGTTTGTGCCACCTCTCCCTGAGTGGAAAACATCTGCAGTCCAAAGGATGGGATTTGGCAACCTTAACAAGGTAGCTTGCCTTAGACACTTCTGTCTACAGATGTAATGTACAAATAGCAGTCTTAGTCATTTACTTGGTGAGGAGGGGCCTTGCGTTTTTGGGCATTTGGCTATGCTCTCAATTGTGACATCAGGGCTGAGGCATTGCAGTTGATTCTCTTCAGTGTCTAAGTCTATCACCAAGTGTCTGTTCATACGGACTTACTCTTATGGGGTCATTTCACAAACTCAAGCCTATAAAAAGAGGATCGTAAATGTCATCCTAAATAATAAGAATTTCTGGGCTTATTTTGAAAGCAGATTAGAAGAGACTTCAAGCAGATTAGAAGAGACTTCAAGGAAGTCTGTTGAAGCCAGTATTATCTAGCCCGTCACTAGCTCATGTGCTTCTTTCTTACGGTAGGTGGTGTTGTGTTTTGACCGGGTGTTCTGGGATCCAAGTGTCAATTTGTTCGGGCATGTTGGCAGTACGACTGCCAGCAGGGGTGAGCTCTTCCTCTTCTGGAACCTCTATAAAGGTAAATGCCTTCTAATTTTAATCTTTTCCATATCCTTACAGGAATATAGAATTTGAAATATTTGGGATTTTCTCAATATATATGCCTTAATTTCTCTCTTTATTAACTCAACAAACAATTCCTGAAATATCTTCTAGGTACTGGGGTGTAAAAATACCTGCCTTCGAGGAGCTCCCAACTTAGTGAGGATACAGTAAGCGGGGAAGCAGCCTTAGAACAGGGCAGTAGGTGGCATGACGGGCTGAACGCCCAGGTTACTGGAGGTCCACTCAGACTGGAGGGACAGGCCCAGGGAGGCTTCCTACCAGGGGAAGCTTGTGTTCCTCATTCTCAGACTGACTTGCCCCCATTCTTTGCTTGCTTCCCTTACAATGTATTTAAGAAATTCCTACCTCCTGTTCAGTTATTTTCTTCTGTAATTGGACTTAACTCTATGTAGACTTAAAGTATATTTGTACACCACCTCATTGCCAGAAAAGGCTGTAAAAAGAAGACATTGGCCTTGTCACTGCAGACACATCAGCTAACTGGCTTGCCCCCCATCCCCAGTTCTTTCCATTACTCCTCATTGCCCAGTGGTGAATGGTCTTTCACACCCCAGCGCCTCTAACTTCACAGAGGGGGAACTTGGCTCCCTGAGCACATTGCTTTCTGACAGCAGCAGCGTGTCTTTTCCCCATCCAGGCTGTCAAGTCCTGTCAGTGCCAGCCTTATAATGTCTTGCAAACCTATTTACTTTTTTCTATGGCCTACCTCCCAGTCCAAGCCATTCTTACCTATTGCCTGGACGGTTACCAATAGCTACTACTGCTATTCCTGCTTCTTTTAGCGACTTTCTACTGCTGAAAGAAAATGTTCAAACTCCTTATCTTGGCCCATGCTAAGGTTCTTCATTATCTAACTCCTCTCTACTTCCTTGTCCATCACCAGGTTCCAGGCACATTTGGCTGTTCTCACATCCTGGAAGACACCATGCTGTTTTCTACTTCAGAGCCTCTACATGTACTGTGGTCTAGGCCTGGGGGGGCTGCTTCTCCCCCCACCCCCTCGACCCCACTTCCTTCACAGCCTATCTTATTCAGCATTCAGGTTTTGACATAAATGTCAGTATTTCAAAGACTTCCAGGACACACACATCTCCACTGCACCAAATGTAAATTAAATTTACCCCCGTATGCTTTTCCCTATAGCCTACTTTTTCTTCATAGCTTTTATCACAGTTAATAATTATCTGTGTAACTTTGCATCTGTTGCTCTATTGGAGTCTATAGTTTATATCTTTTTTATCCCCCTCTTCTAGTAGTGTGCCTGCCACCTATGTCTGTTGCATAACTATTCACCAGATGGGTGACTGAAGACAGTCCTGGGCTTGGAGGGGCCTGGGATGACTGAAAGGGATGTAGCCATTGTCATGGAGCTATCTGAGGTAGTCAAGGTTAAGAATTCTGTGCCAAAGTAAAGGGATGTTTAATAATTCCCTTTTATTAGCAAGATCTGAAATTGTATCTTCGGAACTGCTGTATTTTGTCAAGTTAGAAGCAGTGAGGTGCCTGTGAATCTTACTTCACTCTCTAGTCTGCCAGCTCCTACTGGCTGGTTTCTGGCGACAATAGTTCCATAGGCTGTTTCAGAAACATAATTTGTCTCTTTGCATTTCAGTGGTGCTGTGTGTGTCTCGTCATGAGATTTCAGAGCACCAGGAATAAGGTGGGGCCTGATAAGGACGTTTTTGAGGAAAGTCTGTAGGAAAACCCTAGAATTATCCTTTGTTTCCCCAGCTCCAATACTGTTGGCACTAGTGGCAGGAGAAGCTGCTGGTATCATGGAAAACATAAGTGACGATGTGATTGTTGGCCGATGCCTGGCCATTCTCAAAGGGATTTTTGGTAGCAGTGCAGTACCCCAGGTAAGTAGACAGGTGAGGTAAGTAGGGATCTAGGGTTCAAACTCAACCAAGGTTTAATGTATTTGCAGCATGTTCTTGGTCAGGACAGTTTAAGCTAGAATTGAGGTGTGTGCCTTTACATGAATATTAATGTTTGGAGTTCGTGGCCTAAGCATGGGGTTCAGAAAAGCCCCCCAGAACTGGGGAATCTGAAGGCTGTTAGCTACATTTCTCCTCTGGCTTTAGAGTCACACCATACCCGACATTTTAGACAAAATGGCCAAACTCCAGTGAGTATCTCTGGGAAGTTTTCAGAGAACCTCTTGGTACTTTTTCCTGTTCTTTGAAATACTTTAACCCCTTAGGATTCCTTTGAAGGGAAGCATATTGTGAATTTATAAAAGAGAATAAAGGCCGAACCCTGTGTAGATCTCTGGATTCATAGACAGGAAGGCAACATGGAGGCATCCTTCCTGTCTGAAGTCCTTTTGTCCATGTCTATTTTAAAGCAGAGCATTCATCACTTGATCACTGGCTCTCACATCTGTTGCCCTTCTTTCTCTCACTCACATCTCCACCCACCACTGCTTTTCCACCTTTCAAGGATTGATTTGTCCTTGGTATATCATAATGACTTTTGCTCCTGGTTTTTCTTTTAGCCCAAGGAAACTGTGGTGTCTCGTTGGCGAGCTGATCCCTGGGCCCGGGGCTCTTATTCTTATGTTGCTGCAGGATCATCTGGAAATGACTATGATTTAATGGCTCAGCCCATCACTCCGGGCCCCTCGATTCCAGGTGCCCCACAGGTGAGAACTGGCAAACTATCTGGGCTTATTTGGGAAGAGGCCCTGATTTGTTTTTCAGATTTTAGTCATTCTATCTTCGGACCTTTCAGATAACCAAGCACAGAGTTAAAAGGATGGCACCATTTCTGATTTCTCATCATTTGGTTTTGTAAATCTAGGCAGCCTGCATTCAGAATGGAGGAGTCCAGAGTATAAGTCAAATAACATTTTTCCTTATTCAGGTTTTCCCCCTAAAAAAACAAAACCATTTTTAATTGCACTTCCATTTTGTAATGGCTCACAGGATTGCTGCAAGGTCGCAATTACTAGGGGCTTCCAGGGCATTCCTGAGAAATAACCCTGGGTCCTTATCTAGACCCTTATGCCAGACCCCACTCCAAGAGCAGTAAGAATTCCTCAGTGTCATAGCCCAGGCCTGCTCTGAGCTGCAAGGCTGAAGTGTCCCTGATCACCAAATGTCCTGTGCTTCAGGGTAGTGAGGCTCCCTCCCAGAAGGTACTGAGGGAAGGACACTCTAGAATTGGGTATCTAAACTGATGAGAACACGTTAAGCATCACTTTAGGAACGAGGCTAGGTGGAGTTTTATTGTCTCATTTCTCCTTGTCAATTCTTGGAAAATGCCTACTGATAAGGGAGACTCAGATAGAATGATGAATAGTAATTGGGGGGTCAGCCTTTACAAGGTCAACAGGAATTTAGTAATTTAAGTACAAGAATAAAGGTGTATGTGCAGCCTGCCAATTTTCTTTTTCCCCTAAAACAGCCAATTCCACGACTCTTCTTTGCGGGAGAACATACAATCCGTAACTACCCAGCCACGGTGCATGGTGCTCTGCTGAGTGGGCTGCGAGAAGCAGGAAGAATTGCAGACCAGTTTTTGGGGGCCATGTATACGCTGCCTCGCCAGGCCACACCAGGTGTTCCTGCACAGCAGTCCCCAAGCATGTGAGACAGATACATTCTAAGAGAAGAGGCCCATGTGCCTGTTTCTGCCGCATTAGCAAGGCTCTTCTAGCAATACTAGATCCCACTGAGAAAGTCCACCCTGGCACCTGGGCTCCTGATCGGCTGCTGGAGCTCCTGATTTGACAAGGGAGCTTGCCTCCTTTGAATGACCTAGAGCACAGGGAGGAACTTGTCTATTAGTTTGGAATTGTGTTCTTCATAAAGACTGTGAGGCAAGTGCTGTGAAGTAACATCCTAGTCTCGTTCTTTGTTTTTTTTTTTAATATATTTTGAGATTAAAACTTCATATAAAATTGGCCCTTCTGTTCCTTTGGGTTGGAGTTACATACAAGATGGGGGCGTTACTCCTTTGGAAATGCCAAGTTTATCCTATGACAATAGTAATATATGTTTTCTCCATGTTTAAATAAGGAAGATGTTTATATAAAAGAGAGAAATGGTTTGATCAGGTCAGAAGATAAGGTGGGGGCGGTCCTGTAGAAGCAGTGGATTTCCTAGTCAGTGGGACTAGACTTCCCCACTGGGGAGGGGTGTGGTGGTGTGCCAAGAACATGGGTATTAGGAAACTTTGGATGAACTTTCAAGATAAAACACAAGAGTGAAAGTTTAAGCCTTTGGGAGATGAGTCTGCCTTTATTCCTGATTCCCTCCATGGGTAGGTGCTAAAACTTCCCAATTCTACGAAAGCTGTTGGTGTACATTTTGGGAAGCACACTACGTAAGAGCAAGGGCTTAGGTAACATCTGGTTTAACCAATTGCCACAAACTTAGTGGCTCTTAAAAAAAAAAAATCTACAGTTCTGGATGCTTAAAGTCTAAAATGGGTCTACAGGGCTGCATTCATTATGGAGGCTCTCAGAGCAGGGAGGATCAGTTCATTTCCTTGCTCTTTTCAGCTTCTAGGGGTGGGAAGGCTTGTGGCTCCTACCTCCATCCGCAGAGCACCTAACTCCAATCTCTGCCTCCATCATCACATTGCCTTCTCCTGTAGTCAAATCTTTGTCACAGGATATACCTGTGACTACATTTAAGGCCCACCTGGATCATCAAGGATGATCTCCCTCATCCCAGAATCCTTACTGGCAAAGTCCCTTTTGCCCATATAAGATAAAAACATGTTACATGCTGGTTCCTTACCAGGGGCTCCTGACAGATAAACTCAGTTACTACAAATCCAAGTAATGCCCCTTAAATGTGATTTTACTCTTAGTATGAGTTAAGGGACATAATGTATATTGTTGGTCTGACGGGAAGATGAAAACAGAGAAGGCTCCCCCCGCCCCGTCTTAAGATTTCGTGACAGTATGGAAAGAATCTGCACACCAGGATCAGGGCAAGTGGCGGAACTGATAAAAAGGTGAGGACTCGGCACAGTGCACAGTGCATGGACCTCGGCATACATCTGCATTTGAATCTGAGTTCTGCGATCAACATTGTTACTTCACGGGGATTAGCTAGGGTATCTAATCCGGGGTAGGTCTCTTAAGAGTTTTTGTTTTTTAAACAGATGGCATAGGCAGCTTGAGAGAGAGATGACTCTATCTGGCAACAATGGGCAAGCCTGAAAATTAAATGTTGCAAAGAAATAGCTGCTGATTATAACTCTAGTTATGTGGGTCCTACGCATGTCCTTTTCTAAGCCTCAGTTAATGTTTCCAGTCCTTGTAGTATCAGTAATTGGTTAGGTAAAATATCCAGTTTTAAGCATCATACAATGAAATATACTAGAGCTGCATCAATGCATAGAAGACAGATACACAAGGATGACATAACACTTGCATCACAGACTTGCACAGAGTCTATATGGAAACGAGGGAGCTTTATTGGTTACATATTGTACTGCAGAGCCAACAGAGAGCATTCGCGCCAGAGGATACATGCAGACAGGCAGCTCCAACGATACACATGCACCCAAGGAGCCCTGAGCCACTGCTTTGCCCTGGTTTCCAGCAACAGGTTCCGGCCTCCTTGGTCCCATGCTTGGAGCAGGAATGTAGAAGCTGCTGCACCTAGACTCCAAGGGGCAGGGGTGAGACCAGAGCACCTGCCTGAGCAAGTAGGTGTGGACCAACAGACTGCCCCCAACAAAGGGGCCTATAATGCAATAACAGTTTATTTGAGGGCTACCTTCTCAGCCCTCTCAATCTTTAAAATACAAAAAAATAGACTTTATTCTCTTAAAAATACATTCCATTCAGTATGTTCTGAGCTGGGAAGCAGCAGGAAAATAGGGCCCCTTTCTCCTATGATCTTGGTTGTGAGGTTTTGAGGAGAACCCTGTTCCCCACTCGGGGTATTCAAAACATAATCCCTAAAAGCAGCTCTTTCCAAAGCAATCTTGTCAGAGAAATAACAAAACCTCCTAACAAGGTAGCTAGGGACCCAGCCTCTGGATCCCCGTTCCTTTATTGGGAAGTGGTAGCACTTGGCACTGACCCACTAAATATAAAGAACTAAAACTGCCCCAGGAAGACAAGTCCAGGAACACTATAGCGTCCCCCACATCCCGAACACTCTAACGAGAGGGGGTTATTTATGTGCAAGCTTGCCTGCAGCTGAGGGTGAGGCGGCATCCTTGGCCCCACTGCAGATCCCTTTAACCCACACTGTGACTCTTTTTCATTGCCACCCAAAAGCAAAAAAACCACCACCGCTTATTTATCCACCTTCAGCTTTCTCTGGTTTAGTGTCAGAGTGGCAAAAAACAGCAGCAGGTGGAAGAGATCAGCTGCTGGTACTAAGCCAGCTCCACTCCCTCCAACCAAGCAGCTCTATTGCCAGGTCCCCCAACTCACTAGGAACCCTCCAACAACCATACACCTGCCAGTAAAATTTAAGAGCCAAGCTATGGAAGAAACTTGTCGTAAAAGTGGGTTTGCTGACTGGGGGCAGTGAGACTATTTGGCTTGATTAAACAACTATCCAACTACAGGTCTCCCCTCTACTTGAAGGCTTCCTCCAGGACCCCTGACGATGAGGCCTGGGTTCAAACAATTACACCTCAGTTGCTTTCCAGAAACATGCCTCCCAACTTTGGGATTTGAGAGCCAGCCTTGCCAGCCATTTGAGCCCAGAGAAACTGAGCCTCCAGCCTTTACTTGCTATTACAACATTATTTTCTGCAATGCTGAGGACATTTAAAAATAAAATCTATCTAGAAAGTGTGCAGATTAAAGAAACAAAATATCCTGAAATAACTGTTACAATCAAATCCTATTGCACTCAGATTTCAAGATGACAGCCCCAGCAAAAGGGCTTCACAGCTGTCCCTCTTCCACAGGACATTTTGAGTAGCAGCAGATATTGGTGCTGCTGAAATGTGGAAAGATCCAAACTTTGGCACCAGGAGCTATATAGCACCAGAATCCAGGGCTCCAACACCCAAACACAAGAATTATTGGCGAGATCTTTTTAAGCATGGCTTGGCGCCCTTCTGTTTCCATCAGCAGAGAAGAGCCACAGACTTAGTTTCCTATACCTTCAGTTGACCACCACGGAGGTTGATTTCCTTTGAACTCTCAAGGTTGCCAACCAGTGAAGGAGAATGGCAGGGAGGCCGCAAGTGAGGGACAGCAGCCTTGAGTGAGCTAGTTTCTGGCCAGTGAGCCAGGAGAAGCAGCAGGAAGAGATCCTGGCAATAGCATCTTGAGCATTAGAGGTGGGGATGTGGAGAGGAAAGGCAGGCCACATGACAATGCCTTTAGATTGACAACTCTAGGAAACACGTATGAGCAATCGATTCCTGTCCCTGAAAGTAAGGTAGGTGCTCCCCAAGCCTCCTCACTGCCAAATCTGATGCAGACAAGGGCAGGATGAACACTGATTCCCATGCTGAGTGAAGGCAGGGAAGACCAATTCCTCTGGAGGAAATCTTGAGTCTTCCTCTTGCCAGGAGATTCATAGGAGATGCACAGGAATAGGAGATACACAGACTCGGGTACTTTCCATAACATCTAGACTCCTAGAAAGCCAGGAGATACTGTGTGGCACTGGACACGGCTGATGCCACAAAGAGCCTCAGTGACCCTCCGATCTAATCCCTTCACTTTGCAGACTGGGAAACAGGCCCAGGGAGCTTCTCTGAGCTCATCCCCATGAGATTAAAACACGAGGAAACTAAAAAACAAGGCAAGGCCCAGAAAAACAATTGAGGGCAGGGGGGAAGAACCCACATGGATGATACCTTCCAAAAGCAAAAATCCCATACTATTATACTATTTACCTGAGAACAGGTAAATCATCCCATACTATTACAGATGGTGAAAACAGGAGAACCTCAGAATACCAGATTTGGTGCCCTTAGAGATCATCCATTTCAAAGAACTCATTTTACAGACAAGGAAACTGAGGCTCCAAGAAGGCAATGACTTACCCAAGGTCACACAGCAAGGAAGTAAAGCCATGGGGAAACAAATACAGCTTACCAGACTGCTAGTTTAATGTTGTCTCATTCTGAGGGCAATAGTGTCTGCTTCATAAAGGTAGCCTTTGAAAGAGGATCCCTTCTTTGAACTGAAAGAATGCTAAAGAAAAAGCAGTGCCAAGAATATACAATTCTTTTCAACTTCCCCATATGACTGGTATAAGGAACCTAACCAATTTATTTATGTGGCTTTCTGAAAGGTTTGCTGCATTGTGAACTACATAAACCTGAGGCTCTCAATGGGTATATACGTATCACCTCTCCTCCAACGAAGTCATCATGATAGTCGACTTGCAGAAATCCAGGGCCCACTTCTGTAGGAATGCATCAGCTTGGTAAAGTGCGATGCCTCCTCCATGGGGGACGGAGGAGGAGGAACAGGAGGGAGTAGTCTCATAGTCCATGCCTCTCATGGAGCTATTGCTTGTGGAGTGACTAAAGGTGAGTCACTTCGGGTCTGCTTTCCCCCGTGCTGGGCACTTCCTAGAAGGCAGAGGATGCTGGGTCAGGCCCAGCTTAGCCTAGGGATTTTCCCAAGGTGGAAACAATGAAGAGAGAGCAGGCGATGCCAGCAGCATTACTGGTGCTCGGGAAAGGAGATGCATGAGGCTTGCACCTCCAGGTGCCTTTGAAAGGTGAACAGAGAGAGCTGGGGTTGGGGAGGGATATGTCATTCCAATGGGTATCCGCATGGGTATCTGCATGCTCTGCTTCCAGGAGACTGGTCAGCCAGGGGCCAGGTCGAACTTCAACCTAAAGGGTAGTCTCAATCCTTCAGAGGCAGCACAGACCCCTTTCTGCTTTAAAAGGCTGTGGAAAAGAACTCCAGGGAGAAAGAAATGAAAGCCCCCTAGATGGAGCTGATAGCTGGTAA